GAGCGCATCAAGCTGTTCCTTATAACCATTGCCTGCAGGGTATTGCGTTTTGTGAATGATCCGCGTTGGCTCACGCATGCGTATTGATTCACGTATTGTATCGCCGTGGACCATCTCCACGGAATGTGATTACTCTTGGCGCAGCGTCAGCGTCATGCAAAGAGTGGGCGCAAGTGCTGAGCAGGATTATCGACATGTAACCACTCTCGCAGGTATGCACACGGAACAAGCTGCCACTGTGTTACAAACAACAGACCGCGCTCAAACAGCGACATCGAAACACAACAATACGCGCCATCAATGATGCAAAAATAGCTCACAAAAAGCGCAGAGCATCAATCATGATCGCACACTAGGCCACAAGCAAAGCAATCTTTTGAACGAGCCGAGCCCCATTCCGAACATATCTGTGGGTAACTTGTTGTACAGGCAGGGACACGGCATGCAAAACATCGTCTACCGAACTCGAGTTGAATGTGTAACGTGTGCAAGCGGTCACGCTCTAGTGGGTACCTAGAACGAAAATCGGAGCTCTGGTTGGAAAAAGAGACCAAAGACGACGGTACACCCCACCTGCCCACAATGTGGGCAAATGCAGGATGATGATGCAGATAACTGCTTGGACGTAAGCCAGCCCAATCCTCCTAAGATGTTCGACTTGATCAGTTTTTCGCCTCCTAGACACGACTTGTGTGCAAATCGTGAGCTCGTGCACAAAATTAATTGAGTTTGCCATTGCCATCACCATACTCCATTTATTTTGTCGCCGTGATGTGTAGGATCACCGATCAAGACACTCGATCTAGGCCATTTTGATGAGCGCCGGCACCCGTTACGCAATTGTAACTGCAGTCGACAATTCGACGAACCCTCTCAGCACCTTATCACGGCCCACAGGAGCTCCACAATAATGCGCCAATCCCGTGAGCAGCCAAGGGGAGGAGGGCCCGTTACAGCCGCATTTGTCTTCGTTGCTTACCAGAGATGTGTCTGGACAGAAGGAAAGAAAAAAGAACAGTGGGGTTCGGTCTCACTGAGCTCACAGCGCTCCTTTATGGAACGCCGACATACGGTTGGGCGCCATTTATGTAGTTGTGAGATATTTCTCCGTCTGTTGACTGGAGTTTAAGATGTAATTTATGCTCATCACATGAAATGTACTTGCATCTCCATTTCTGTAGAAAAAGGTCTTGCCCTCCCATTAAGAAATCCCTGTCTTCATCAGTGACGCCGACCAAAACAACCGCCAGGTTTTTGTGCACACTTGTTTAACTACTACATCCTCTAATATCACCATCTCTCACGTCAATTGCCGTCAACAAAACGCACCAGCCCTCCCGGGAACGCGGCGAGAGGCGGCCCCGGGCGTGGCCGGCCTGTCGGCACCGGCCCCGGCGTCACCCGGGCAACTTTCGCCGGCGCGGCGCGTCGCCGCCCGGGCAGTCACGGCGACTCAGGACGCGGGCAGAGGGCCGCTTTTTGTGGGCCGGCTCGTCCGGTGGCACCCACCGCCGAGAGTGACGCACGCGGCGTCGGGGCATCCGCAGGACCCGCCGCCGCCGGGCGCCGCTGGTGAAGGCCAGGGCAGGGCGCCCTGTGCAGCTGCCGCCGCGGGGCGTCACTGCACCGGGTCAATGAGATGTTCAAAGAGCTCACATTCCAAAAAGATCTTTGTTGGAGTTGGATTTCATAATGAACACGGAACTACGAAAATGGGATCGGGAACGGGCCCAAGCGTTTTGAGCCCAAGCGTATCGTAAATTTAGGATAGGGTTCATGGTAAGGCATGGAAAAGAAACCAATCAAAAATTCCCTGACATCCCCCCCCCTTCCTGCCGCCAGTGTAGGATGAGTTATCTCCGCTATGCAGTAAGGCGAGATTTACCGGCATGATGACCGACTCAGTGGCGTTATTCACCGTCATGACGACAGATTCAGCAGTATCATTTACTGACATGATGGCAGACTCAGCGGTGTCATTTGAAGCTTATCGATCCATCATGTTAATCAATGCATTTTCATCGCTAGTTTACAGATCATAGTTTACAGATAGTACACTATTTACGGTCGCAAGCACCTAGAGTCTATGGTTTTTAACGAGGAGATTCGCAGCGTCGCTTACAACCACATGTCAAATCAGCTCAACCGGGACAAAGCGAAATTCCTTCCCCCACGTGGCTTTACACATGTCCGAGGAATTGAGCTGACACGGCATAAATGATGCAACCGGTTATTCCCAGCGTGTAATTCGAGGACGCCACATGTCGTTCTACGACCTCACGTGATCCTGACCTTGGATGGCCTAGCAGATACCATTTTCATGTAAGGCGCGTGCGGGATTTTGAAGACTTTTCCCGAGGTGACCTTGACCTCAAATAGCATCGACTCAGTCCAACTCACGTCAGCTCATTTCCGCCCAGATCGGACTTGGCGACCGCACAACACAGTCCATACATGTGTCATAGCGCGACAGTGTTTTTTAGGGGGGGGGGGGGGTATGGTCTTACGAACTCACAGATGCACAGATAGCTATGATATTCCTCAAGGATAAGACAAGGCTGGATACATGGTAAGAAAAGCTACTTTCTTCTTTCTGGTACAGATTTCTACTTCAAAATTTTTGCAAAACTAACCCCAAAGTCCGGAAATTGAAAACAAGGTTTAGAGCTGGGTGCGGTGCAAGGAAAATAACGATGAGCCTGCCTTCAAGATATCTTTTCCGGTACGGGCGAGCAACAAATAGCTTAAAAGCTTAAAAAAAAGCCATAGCTTGGGCTAGGAGTAATGATATGAACAAGTGCAGAATCCGCAGTTGTGCCCGTTTCCTGCCCATCGGGTTATGCATGAAGATGACCGGACCTCGAATGACCACATACTCTCCAATAATGTCTCTTAATCAGGTTCTGAAAAATCACGAGCTTTGATGGAGTTCACGACGTAAGACCTCCACACCTTTACAACCACTAGGCGAGAAGCTTTCGCGTACACAGAACTAAGAACGCTCTGCGGAGTGGCAATTTTCCACACTACGCACGAAGCTTTGAGAGCGAGGTCAAAAGCCGATGAGTTGAAGCGATGGGACCCTGAAATTATAGGCAATGTTTAAAAGGTCGGGATTAGGTTTACAGAAATTTGATTGCGATGCGCCAACCAGTTTAGGGGACACCTCTTAAACACGGGAAAAGGCCGGCAGCAAAGATTGGAGGGGGGGGGGGGGAGGGGGCGGAGCGGATAATCTGAGGACTGGCCGCACCCTCCATAGACATAGAAACAGGCTAGGAACCGCTAAACCCACTTTCCTAACTCTTAATGCATTGACTCAACCACCATCATGATATAATGCATAAAGGAAACTGGTCAAGTTTTTCGAGCTGGGTATATCTCTGTTTGTGTAAAGCTGTCCTTAGGTACCTTAGGTTAAAAACCTTAACGTACCTATCAATCAGTGGCAGTACATCCACAGCATTAATAAAAGGTAAAATTGTGGTCACTTCGTTCGGCACCCGAAGTGCAACGGTTGAATTTAACGAGCAACCGAAAAGACTGGATCAGCATTCCAGAGATTGCGGAACGAGTTCCGGTGGGAAGACTCAAATGTCCCGCAGTATCTGGCCAAGAATATCGCCAAGCTGAGAAGCGTCTAGAGAGTTCTAGCCAGCCAAAGCTAGAGGAGCCAAATTCAAACAATATTACTCAAATATGAGAAATCGATCCCTAGAAACCCTGAAAAATCGGTTGACCCTAGATTGGAAATGCGGGTTGATCCCTTGCTTTGTGCCGTTGCCTCGGGCTACGTCCGGCCTAGAGGTGTTGAAAACTAGACCCGAGGCAGCGATGGAATGCACATTTGCGCACCTCGGCCTCAGCATCCTGTCATTAATCGCACGCATGCATTTATTCTATACTTTGTAAAATTATAGCCTGACGCAGACTGCGCAACATTGCGGATACAATGGTAATGATTGACACGCGGCTGGACATTGCGTTGCCACGCAAGTCACAACACAACTTTGTTTGCGTTGGGCCGTTTCGCCTTGCCATGCATCAGGTCGCAGCAATGTTTTATGTTAGCCGACCTCATTGCCTTCATCGAAATGAAATAGTGCATGCTGCAATGGAAAGAACAAAGAGTCGGGTGGACCCAACGACAGGCGGATGCACTGGTATCGATTTACAGAAAAAGTTATGTGCCACGGATTCCAAAATTCCCCACAATACGGTTACACTGAGTCGGGCCTCTCTTCCCGGAAGAGCGATCGCTGGCAGCCCGAATCGTGCTGGCGTTGTTCTAATCGCCAGGAAGCGAACTTCCTAGCTGTATGATCTGAATGGCTGCGAGTCGGGTTCATACGCTGAAGTGCTGCGCCTCTCAGACCGAACTACCCAAGAACTGCTCCGTTATGAGCTGCCACGCGCTGTCAGCAGCCATTTTTACTTGCCGCGACTAGCGGAAAATGCATCAGCTCCGAGAGCTGCTACCGAGAGCACCGCCAACCACTTGCATTTCATCGCTGTGGAAAACGGCGTCACGTAATCATTTAACTGCGACAACAAAAATGGGACAAGCGCAGGCACACTGCGGCTCAAAAGCTCGCCTGCACCTATGCTGTAATCGTCATTTATCATTGTCGGCTGTTTAATGACTAAATATCACACGCCAACAACACTCTCAAAGAGCTTTTCGGCTCAGAAACTCGCCTCCTCGTTCGCCCTCGTAACTCCGGCGTAAGAAGGGCATAATTTATTACTTGTGACGATTGGGCCTTAAGGATGTGTAAGCTAATGGGAAAATGAGCTCTATGACCTTCACTGGATTTGGGAAGGCACGCCTGCCAGTCTGTTTCCTCTTGTTTTACTTGTGTTGGTCACGGCGTGGTAAGAAGGGCCTATGTCGCTCAGTCGGTAAGGCTGTTTACTAGTGGATACTGATGAGGCTTTGGACTCTAGTGACAAGGGAAGGCTTGATCGGCAGAATCGGACCTACGATCCATCCCACAAGACCGGGGACTATTCCGGTTGGTCGTTGAGGCGGTGAGGGTGCGCTCTGCGCGCCGAAGATCATTCGGTGACTTTCAAACTCAGTGCTGAAGGCGAGTGGGTCGAGTCCGGGTTGCTGGTTACGAACGGTCTCGCAAGGCTGCTGCAGAGCGAGTGAGTGCGACGAAATTCAGAGGCTCTTCATTCTAGGTAAGGGATCGAGAACTGACAAATGCATTTCTTTAATAATGGTCGTGCGACAAACGTCATGGGGCATTGAATATGCTGGTTATTCCATCGCCTTATTTTACGGGTGCTTTGACGTTGTTCCGTGTTACCTGTTATGGCTTTGCGCGCGTTACAAATTGAGGTGGCCATGCCACACAGTCGAGCATTTAATCCCTGCGGCACTTAACAAGACCATCCGACCCTACGCACATTTCAAATCTGGTTGTCGCCTTGCGGGCATGTCCCATTGTCATTACCGTCGCCAACCAGTCGCCTTATCGCCGCCATCTTCACGGTTAGACCTTTCGCTTCCCCCCTACCCCTCCACCACAGGTTCCCCAAAGCGGGGAAGGCGCCCGGCGGGGCCGGCCGGCCCGTACCGGGCGCGGTCCACGCGGGGTGGCGGCGGCGGGCCGCACCCGGCGGCCGGCCGTCCGGGCCCACTGAGTCAGCTGGCTCGTCCGGTCGGGACGCCACTGCGTGCCGCCCCCTCTCCCCCCCCCCCCCCCCCCAGACGGGAGCAGGCGACAGGCAACCGCCGGAGACAATGGCGGCCATTGTGGAGGCGCGCTCTCCGCCGGCGCTGACCTCTGACCTCGCGTGCGGCACCGCCGGCCGAACCCGCGCCGGCGACGGCTGCCGGACAGGCGGGGGGGGGGGGGGGGGGAGGGTTGCGCGTGGTCGAGACGATCAATGCCGGTTGAGACGCGACCCGGCGCTGGACGCCGGACTCACGGCCGGAAGCCAGACCGGCGCCGCAGGGTCGCCAGCCGCGCGGCCGGCCTGTCCTGACCTGCCCAGCCACCGCCCGCTCCGCCCCCCCCTCCCCTCGTGGGCGCCACAGACCTCGTCACACTCGGGGCGTCTCGTCACATTCACCCCCGCACTGCCGCGCACCACGGCCCATCGCCGGGGTGAAATTCTCGCGGCTCTCCGGCGCTCTCGCGTCGTTTTTCTGCAGGACGCCGCCCGCAGAGGGCGTCGTGAAAGTCGGCGCGCCCGTGCGTGCGCGTCGGCTGTCGTCGGCGGCGACTTTCGCCGGGCGGCGGCGAGCCATGTGCCGCCGCCGCTGCTCTGCCCTGTCCATCGTCTATTGATCGCGCGAAGCCGGGGTCGTCACCGGCTCTCCTTCCTGGCGCGGCGCGGCTCTCGCCGGGCCCGGCGGCCGGGCCCGGCGGCCGAGACGGGTCGGGTCCCCCGTGGACAGGTGGCTGTCTTCGACGGTGGCGCGAATGTGGGTCGCGTCACCCCGCGGGATGAGGGAAGGCGCGGCCGGCGCGGTCGAGGCTGTGAAAAGTTAAGCTCGGTGGCTCTCGTTCTGTTACGGGCAGCGCTATTGTGGCAAACTGATGCCAGGGAGTAGCAAACAATTGGAGGAATTGCTTCAAAACCTGGGAATCGGGACTGGCTGCTCTGTGTATCTTTTCTTTGTCTCAAGTATTCACGGATGCTACCAAGTAAGTGAAACCCTTGCGAAAGCGACCACCCTGTCCGTGCCACTGACGTAACTTTGTCCACCCGCCGCCCTGGCCCCGGGGTCCAGCTCGCTATCGGTCTGTACGGCGTGGGCCGGACGCCTCTGGGAGGCAGCCACATGGCCGACTGGCCGGCGGCCGCCATCGGGCCGTCCTCAGCTGACCCCTCTGATGCGCCGCCGCCCGGCTTTCTCTCGAGAGCGTGCAGTGTCTGCTGTGTGGCGCCGCCCTTCGCCGCCGCCGCCGCCGCCTCTGCTGCCGCCGCTGCTGCCGCCCGCCGTCGTCGTCCCGGCCCTCCCGCCCGCGCGCCGCCAACTGACGCCATCAGCTGACCGCGCCGAGCATAGCCAGCGTCAGCCTGTCTATGGAATCACGATAGGGCAAGGACAGAGCGTTTGGACAACGACTGTGGCCAAATCGCACTGGAATCATCTTCCTGTGCGCCGTTCACCGACCGCTCACCCCGAATGACTGCACATTGGGCTGCGGCCCGCCCCTGCAAAACATCCCCACCTGCGGACCAGAGCCGGCAGCGGCGGCGACCTCCAGCTCTGCGGGGTCGGTCCCGTTGACTGCCCGTCCGTGCGGCGGCTGCGGCGATGTGGGTCGCTGCCGTGCCAGGGGTAGCCTGGATCGCGGCAGCGCGGGCTGGACCGGCCCCGGAAGGCCGAGGCGGCCGAGCTGTGGCTGCCAGGCGCCGGTGACGGCGGCGTGGCCATTTTCTGTCGCAACAGGCTCATGGGCGATCAGTTCGGACCCGCTGGTGTCTGGCTTGGTGGAAAAATACGCTGCGCGGCACTGTTCTTGGGCTGAGTGATTCCCGGAGGTGGTAGGCGTAAATGGCACATGTGTTGGGTACGTGGAGCGAGTCCCTCTAAGTTTGAATGGCGAGGGGCCTATCACGGGTACCATTCTCGAGCGAAGTTCAGGGTTTCTTCGGCAACGAGGGAATCCAGAACCGCGTAATTCAAAGTACAGCTGACTTTTGGGCGATGTTGTTTTGAGCAGACATCCTTTTTTGTTCCGATCGTTCCATTGTTCTTAAATCAGATACGCCAACGCACATGTGTTTTGTCGTTATCGATTTTACACCTACACTCGCGGCGTCATTTTTCGCTTCTGGGATTGAACAGCTGAGTTCACCGAGCGGCCTGACGTGCTAGCTGCGCTCCCTCGTCGGACACCTGTCCCTCGTCGGATCGACTAACAATCTCGGCTGAGCATCAAGTGTCCTCGTCCTCTGGCCCTGTTCCCTCTCCTCCCCTCGACTACTACCTGCTCCTACTCGTAAGTCCACACAGCGATCGGGCCACTGAGTCCGATGGCAGATAACCAGCCGGCACCAGCCGATAACCACCCAACTATGCCATTTATGCCCCCCCCCCCCCCCACCCACCCTTCCCCGTTCTCCTGGCCGCCGCGGGCGCTCCCCCTCCCCTCCCCCCGGCGGCGGCGGCGCGGCGCGCCAGCGCGCCAGCGCGCGCGCGACGTGGTCGAGGTGGGGCGCGCCAGTGACGGTGGCGCGCGCGTGCCGGCAGCTGGACGGCGGCGATGCTGGCGGCCGGAGCCCCGGTGAACAAGCGGCCGCGCGTCGACGCGCGAGGCCCCATTAGCAACGGCCCGATGCCGCGACCACTGGTGGCGCTGCTCGACGGGCGCGACTGCTCCGTCGAGATGCCCATCCTCAAGGACGTGGCCACGGTGGCCTTCTGCGACGCCCAGTCCACCTCCGAGATCCACGAGAAGGTGAGGCGGTGGGGGACGGGAGACGGGGAGGGTGTCGTGGCAGGATTAGGTGCGAGGGGTGGTCAAGGTCTCTAGTCGGGACGCTGGCGTGTGGCAAGCGTGGGCTATGTTCACGGGCTTGTTCGCCGTGTTGGCGGGTTGGCAGGTTGGGCGTTCACCGCTGTGCTAGCTGCCGTGGGTTTGGTGCTGGGCTGTTCACGCCGGAAGTGCGAGGTCGAATGCTTGGCGCGAGACCGTCGCACCCTGGCCAGCCGCGCGCTAAGCCGGCGGCGGGACTCGTAGCCTAGAGCCCGCGTCTCCGGTGGTCAGCCTCCCCCGGGCGTACTCGGTGTCAGTTTTCCTGTCAGCTGGGTGGGCCCTCAGCAGCGCGGGCGGGCCGGACCCGTTACCGGCGGCCGTTTCTTGGAAGGGCGGTGAGCCGTCCAGCCGTCGGGCGGCGCGACGACGCGACCGAGCGGTCCGGCGCCGCACTGCTCTCGCGGCGGGCATGCCGGTCGCGCGCGCGCCAGAGCGCGGCGCAGACCGCACGCAGCGGGACGGGCGCGACGCCACGCACGGCGCGCCCATGGGTCAAGACACAGCCGCTGCGTCGCGTGTCCGTGAAACCCAAATAAATTAAGTAAGGACCAGGCCATACGCGCCCAGCCGTCACCAGCGCCATATGGTCAGCTGACGATGGTAACTCGGTCAGGGAGTTGGAAGGACGAGGCGGCTCCGTCCACGATCGATCGAGGGACCTTGATCGAGACCCTAGTTTGTGTGGCGCTATTTTTTGTCTGCCCCGGCGTACGCAGCTGGCGCGTTATTTGGTTGCCCCGTTGAATAGGATCGATCTGTCGCGGTGTTTCCAGCCATCGGACAGCTTTCTACAACATTGAGCCTTGCTTGGAGGAGAATACTACCAACGGTTACAAAAAGCTGAAGTCGTCGGTGGGCGCGAAGCGGGCGCTGAAAAGTTGGTGTGCCCGCGCCACATGGGGCCGCGGCCCGGTCACCTTTGTTGCCGTCCGGTCGGCTGTCCGCCCCGTGTCGCGTTTCACCGGGCCGGCCAGGCCGCCGGCCGCGCGGGAACGCTCTGGAATGTCTCGCTTTTTTGCGGCCGGCCGCCGGCGCCAGGCCTTGTAGGGAGGCCGTCGGACCTGGTCTGGAGAGCGGCCGGACGGCGCGGCGCGCCCCGCCGCCCGTATCGCGCGCCCATCTCCCGCGCGCGAGCCCACCCGCCGCCGCCCCGCGACAGGTCGCTTCGCCTCCGCGCGCCGCTGCCGTCGCCACCGCGTCCCTCCCCACCTGAGACACGCGGCGTGGCGCGACGCCGCTGCCGCCACAGCGCGGCGGCGCGCCAGCCGGCAGCGGCGTGTCCATTAGCGCGCGCCGCGCCGCCGCCGCTTAAGCCGTTTTTGCACGCGGCCGGCCGCCGCACCGGCCGTTTTATAAACAGGGTGGGCCGGGTGAGGCCACTTGACAGGGACTGACGGCCGGGACGTGGCGCCGCCGGCGCCCGGAATGCGCGCCGCCATGTTGGCAGGACGCGGCGCGGACGCCCCGGGGGCACGGGCGTCAGATCCGCCCGCCCCGCCCGCCCCGCCGCTCCCTTCCCTCGCCCGATCCGTCCCGCGGCGTCCTGCTGCGTGCAGAGCCGACCGACACTGCCGGATCTAAAATGTCGAAAATCCCGAACTCGGCGGCCAAGTTTCCGCCAAGTTGGCGGGAACTTTATCCCCGGCCGGCAACTAACTTCACCCCTTGTTTAAACCAGTTGGATTGGCGCGCCGCGCCGCGTCCACGGCGGGGCGCGCGCTTTTTTAGTGCGCAGTCAACGGACCGCGGCCGGGTGCGCCGGCGCGACGTCGGGTTTATTAATTGCCAGTCGGACCGGGCGGGCCGGGCCGGGCCGGGCCAGGCCAGGCCAGGCCAGGCCAGGCCAGGACCGGTCGGGCGAGCGGAGCGGATCGGCGCGTCGGCGAGCGTTGAACTTGGGCGGCCGGTGAAAGCCGCACGCGGCGGCGATGCCGGTGCACGGGCCGGGCTCAGCTGCTGGAGGGAGTCTGACGCCGGCGCTGGTCGCCACCGCCGGCTGGCGCGAGTCTCGGCGAGGCGCTGTCGGTCATGGAGCCCGAGAGCTGGCGTGTGCGGTGATGACGGGGTGATGATGGCCGGAGGCGCCCGATGCGGGCCGGGCTGCGGGCAGACGCAGCCGCCTCTCATGACAGCATTGCCGATAACGGGCTGAGGCGGCGTACGCAGTCGGCCGACAGCGGCCGGCACCGTTAGCCCAATATTAGCGGTCCGCAGCCCACGAGCGCCGATGGAAATCTGGCCGCCGCCGTCCGCGCTTACAAATCGTCGGAATTAGCGCGGCACGCTGGAAGTGCCGGCCGTTTTGGCGCGCGCCGCCGGCGGCCGGACATGCCGGTGTGCCACCCGCCGCGACTCGGCGCCCGCCCAGGGGAAGATGCGCGGAAATCGAACTGGCTCGCGGCAGGGCGACGCTGCAACAGGCGACCTGTCCGGGCGCCGCCGAGAGACAGGTGTGTCGGCTCTGGGCCGGGCACGGCGCCGCAGCGGGCCGCCTCGTCACGCACGGCGACCGCGAGCCGTGTACCGATCCGAGAGTTTCGAAACGGCCGGACGGGCTCAATAGAGGCTGGTAACGCTGCGTGGATCCCCCTCGGGACCGCGGTGAAATGAGGACGCCGGGGACGGCGCACGGTGGACGCTGCGTGTCGCCACAGGTGTGTCTGTGTGTGCGTGACCCGGGGCTGAGCGGCGTGCCCGCTCCTGCTCAGCCGTCCGCCGGGACGGGAGGAGGCCCGCCCGGGTCCGATCCCCAAGCCCCGGCCGGCCCGATCCCCAAGCCCCGGCCGGCCCGATCCCCAAGCCCCGCTCGGGCCTGATCCACAAGCCCCAACCGGCCCGATCCCCAAGCCCCGCCCGGGCCGACGCACCGCACCCCGTCCCGGCGCCCGCTGGGCTGGCGCCGCATCTCGGCCGGCGCGCCTGGCGCCGCCGGGAGGAGGTTCCTGCCCCTGCCCCTCCCCTCCCCCTGCCCCTCCCCCTCGCCCGCGCCCGCGCCCGTGCCTGGCCAGTTCGGGCCGAGCACGTGTCAGCTGGCGGGACGGCCATGTTGGCCGCCCGGCGGCGGCGGCGGCGGCGGCTCATGGCCGGGAGACGCGCTCCCGGCCGGCCGGTGTGGCGTGACTGGACCCCGGCCGGTGTGGCGTGACTGGATCCCGGCCGGTGTGGCGTTACTGGATCCCGGCCGGTGTGGCGTAACTGGATCCCGGCCGGTGTGGCGTGGCTGGACCCCGGCCGGTGTGGTGTGACTGGATCCCGGCCGGTGTGGCGTGACTGGACCCCGGCCGGTGTGACGTGACTGGATCCCGACCGGTGTGGCGTGACTGGGCCCCGGCCGGTGTGGCGTGTAGCGTGCGGTGCCGCCGCCGATCAGCGCAGCCTCCGGCCGGCGCACGTAGAGAGGAAACCGGGGCCGGCCGCGGTGTCGCGGCGTAGATTCCCCTTTCCCTCCCCCTCCCCCCGTTCCGTCCCGTCCCGCCGGCCTGACTCACCTCAGAGCGTCCGCTGTAGAGGTCACGGGTCATCCCCGCCGCTCCGCCTTTTGGTCCGCCCGCCCGGGTCCGCCGTGACGTGGCGTGACGCCACGACCCGTGACGCGTCACGTGGCGCGGTCGTGTCGGCGCGGGTGGCGACACGTCGCCGCCGGTGGCGCCACAAACGGCCCCGGTGCCAGGAGCGGCGCCGGCGCCGGCCAGTCTGCATGACGACGGCTACTTTCGGAACTTGCACGGCTCTGAAGGACACGGCTGAATGTGTAACTCGATGACGTCACCGCGATGGATCAGTCTGATAATCTCGCCGGCTTGGGGGCCGAAGTCGAACTTTGTGGGCAGACAACTGAGAGGTTGGAGGCCTTCACTGGCCACTGGCTGTCCGGGAGATCGCTGCGCAAAAAGGGGAGAAACAAGTAAGAAACGGACCAGCGGTGCTGGCGCGTGGCTACGCGTTCTCTGCGAATTACACGCTGACCTGTGTTTACGCCACGTCCTCGTATTGGTGTAAGGCGTTACATCCGCTTTTCTGTTCCATCGGGTCCTCGACGAAAACATCCACGGCCGTCGCACTAAGTAACGCTTTTGCACTGCATAGTAATAGGTCGATGGAATCGATCGAAAAATCAGTAGTTGGAGCATCATTGCAAGGCACTGCGACATTGACACTGATTGGCACTGCAACAATGTAAGTGGACGGCGGTAGACCACTGTTATCACTATTTATCACGGCTGCATCTGCGATGCACACTTGGCGCCGCGCCATACTAAATCACTCAAAGGTTCTATCTTCCTGTGCTTTGCGCGAGATGCCATCATTGGTGCACTATGCGTCTGGCGAAAAAAAATCACATACGCACGCACGCACGCACGCACGCACGCACGCCACCTATGCGCTTGTTAAGTGGATATCATTTTTGGATGGAAGGAAAAAAATTGAACACGTCGGTGCTCAGCTGCCTAATTGGTCTGGTAACCCATTTGGGTGTTTGTTTCCACCGGCGTTACTGAATTCGTCCGGCCTGCTCGCTGAATGTGGTGCTGGCCTGGTGTCGCTCTTTTTAATCAAAACAACCGGGTAAACCGAGCCAGATTCTGAATGCAAAAGATAACGTGAACCGCAGCGTAACCGCAACCGCGCCCTGTTCGCTAGGTTCTGCACAACAGCTTGGCACCGCGGCGTTCGATTGAGCGCCGCTACGGGGCGTGACCGTATCCCGCAGACGCTGACCCACCCCGCTCCCCTGCGGCCAGGTGCTGAACGAGGCGGTGGGGGCCCTCATGTGGCACGGCATCAGTCTGCTGAAGGACGACCTGGAGAAGTTCAAAGCACTCAAGATCATCGTGCGCGTCGGCAGCGGCGTGGACAACATCGACACCAAGGTCAGTGCCGGTGTCCTGTTTGTGCATCGATTATCGGATCGGCGGCGTCAACGGCGGTGGCGCGTCCGTCCGTTCGCCCCCCGGCGAACAAAGGTGGCGCGGCGTTTGCGGCCGTGCCCGCCGCTGTCGAGCTGATCGGCGCGCCGCGTCTGTTGTCCCAGTGTTTGCCCGTCGTTGAGGGCGCGGTGGGGATGGGGCAGGGGATGGGAAGGGGGTGGGGCCCATCACCCGCCGGCCGATTCGGCCCGTGCGTTCCGCTGGGCGGATCGATCGCCGAAAACCCGCGCCGTCGGAACAAAGGCGCGGCGGCGGCGGCCGGCGTCAGCTGACTGCGCTGACCACGCGGCCGCGGCGCCGGTAGTACGCTGGCGGGAGCGGCGCGGGCGCTGGGAGCCGTCGCGCCGCCGCTCCCACCGCGGTCGCCGCTAAATTTAGTGAAGCGGGCGACGGGCCGCGGGAGGGCACGCCGCGACTGTTCGCGACGGCCGCCAGCGTCCGCACGCCGCCGGCTCCGCCTTGCCTCGGCTGGCCGCGTGACTCGGGCCCCCCCCCCGTCCGCCGTTCCCCCTCCCCTGCCCTCGGCCGCCCGGCGGCGCCTTTTGTGGCGGGTGTGGGCCGCCCGGCCGTCCGGCCGTTAGCGCCGGCTGACCCGTCCCTCCCCCCCCCCCCCCCCTCCTGCCAGCCGCGGCGGCCATTCGCTCTCTCCCGGTCCGGCCGGGGGCGGACGCGGCGTGATCAATGCCGGCCGGCCGGCCGGCCTCCAGACGCCGCTCCGGCAGGGCCGGCCGCCGGCCGCCGCCGCCCGGATTCTGGCCGCCGCCGCCGCCGCCGAGGCGAGGGACGGCTGACGCGGCGGCGGCGCCGGCCGCGCGCAAGAACGGCCTATCTCGCGTATCGGTTGACGCGGTGGGCTCGCCTTTGTCTGGGGCGCGCCGTATCTGGCATCTTGCTGCCTGGTGCCGCCGGCTGAGCTACCTGTCGGTGGGGCCGGTGCGGCGGGGCCTCGTGCCGCCGCCTCCCCCCCCTCCCAGACTCTGACTCTGTAGTCTGACTCCGGGTTTGACGCGGGGGCGGGATGGCGCGTGGGCGCGGACGCCGCCCGTGGGCGTGCCGGCGGCGGCGGCGGTCGATCGCGGCGACACTCGCCGCGCGACGCGACACCTGCTGACGCAGCAGCGCGGCCACGCCGAGGGACGACTGCCGGTCACCGACCGCCGGCTCCACCTGTCAGCTGGCGCCGAGGCCGCCGCCGCCGCGTCGCTTTGTCGCCGCTGGACAATGAGGTCCGCCGGGGCGGGTGAGACGCGGTTGTGGGCTGGGTTTGCAATGCACAATGTCCAAATGAGGGGCCTTGATTTGGCGCCTGGCTTTTCGGTATCGTGAAGGCTAATTGTTGCGACGTAATTAACCGACCTTCCACAAGTCGGGAGGCACTGGATAAACCAAGCAGTGATGAGAATCTAGGGTGGCGTGATCTTTCGTGCACATATGTTGCGTCGGCTGGCTGAAGCGTCGCCTCTCACTGCAGCCGGTGAGCTCGTTGCTCTCACCGCGCTGTTGGTGCGACTCACCGATGACGCGGCGTCGGCGGGCGGACGTGGTCGTTTAGCCGGCGTCAGTGGGGCCCGAACCGAACCGGACCCGCCCCGCCCCACCCTGGGGTCGACGCTCTGCGCGGTCCGCCGCCGCCGCGACGCACGAGGTGTCGGGGAAAGCCCGCTGTGCCGGGCGGGGAAAGTTCGCCCGGTCCCCAGCGGCCGGCCTGGGCGGGCTGACACTGGCGGCGGGAGCGGCGCAGCGCCACGCGGACCGGACGGCTCCCCGGACCCCCCCCCCCCCCCGCCGCCGCCGCCAGCCCGACTTTTATGACCGTCCGAACTTTGCCGAAGTTCGGCCGGCCGACGGGGCAACTTGGCAGATCGGGGCCGGACCGGCGGCGGCCGGCCAGCGACAACTGCATCATATGTTTAGCGACACGTCGGCGGCCGGCGGCCGCGCCGGGCAACTTGGCCAATCCGGCGCCCCGGTGCGCCCCCGGGCGGCTTGCGAAACGGCGATCTGCTCGGAGGTGTGACGTCACAGCCGAGGCGGGGGCGGGAGGGGGGGGGGGCGGGCCGACGGCCGGCCGGCCGGCCGGCCGGCCGGATGGACGGACGGGCGGGCGGTGAAAGGGTCATGTTCGAACGGGGGGAGGGGGCGACGCCGCCCCGGCAGGTGGACCTTGAGGTGTCGACCTTGATGGGTGACCCCCTCGCGCCGTCGTCGTCGCCGCTCGGTCCTGGGGCCCGCACGTGTGACCGGAGAGCCCAGGTCGGCGCTACGTGCCCACACCGCCCTCGCCACCGTCGTCCGCTGGCGCGCGGCCTGCCTGGCTGGCCTGTCCCTGATAGTTCGTTCCGCATGCTGTGTGTTGATGAACCGAAGTCAAGTGTTCAGACAATCAGTTGGTGTGTTTGAGGTGGCTTCTTGTGAGTGTGCAATGTTTGCACACTCACAGTGGCCGGCGGACGAGTGGCTCTTGTGAGTGCAAGAGCATGGTGGGATATGACTGGGACCCAAGCCTTTTGCGACTTACGGCAGGCAGCCGTCACTTGTCGCAACGGAGCCCCGTTTTGGGCGGTTCGCAGTTCTAGGCTTTTGAACGGCCACCACAAATAATGCGCATGCTGGCAAAAAGCCTTGCCCGTTTGTAGGACGTGAAGCGCTCGACGTTTAGGTTTAGCCTGGGATGTGGGACACCTGGTTCAGCTGATTCTTAACAAACACATCAAGGTGCACGTTGAAATATTGCCATGGCAGGCTAGGCAAACGGCGCCTAGTTATTTATGCTCGGCCGGCGTAGTCGTACCGAAGAGATGGATAATTTGCGCGCCCCGTAGGTCATTTAAGCGCTCTTGGTCTAAAGAAACAAATCAAGACAAATCAAGCTACCTTGAAAAGCTAGAAATGTACGCAGTACGAACAGAAAGGATTGACCCTGGAACCGGTTCGTTCTGTATTGCTGGCAGTCCATGCCGTCACTCGCATTCCTGACGACGAAGGCCTTCGATCAACGTGGCGTCCCACTGCGACAAGGTTCTGCCTTTGGCAGCGTCGTCGCTGCCTTCGAGACTAGGTTGGGTTTCATAAACCGCGCCATTGAAAGGCTCCCAGCTACCCGCTTTTTATGAGCCACGCGCGTTTCTGGGTCGTCAAGTGAGCATTAGCGTTTAAGATGTATCTAACGAAATGTACAGCTCAAGGAAGGCCAAGGCGGCGTCCCTAATCTCATCACCGAGTTGCGCTCGACAGGTCATTAAGCCGGCATTAGTGGTGTTCTTTGATGATACATGGCGTACCGTAGCGCCAGCTGATGCCGGGCGTGTTGCCCCCGTTGCCTCTGACTGCTTGCCAGAGGCGACAGAGGTGACCCGCAGACGCCGAAATGTCGACCGATGGCCACCGTTTCCCCCCTCCCTTTCAGTTTGGACTCCTCCAAGTCGGGCGCGCGCTCGCCGGCTCGGTTTTCGCCGCGTCACCAGATAGATTGCACCCGACGTAGGCCCTTCTTGCCACGGCGCCCATAGGCCCTACTTGCGCGGTGGCATCGATTGGCGCGGCCAGGCCAGACGCCCGACGCGATATCCTGATTTCGTCAATGCGAAGATGGGGCGCGCGCTGGGCGGCGGCGGTAGACTGCTATATTGGGCGTATTTGCCGTCGCGGAGGCGGCGGCATCGCCGAATTTCAGGGAGGGGCCGATCAATCGCCGTTGGCTGACCGTTGTCCAGAGGAAGGGGGAAGGGGAGGGGCACGCGACCACTTTCGAGCGCGTCGTCCGCCGGCCGGTGGCGGCCCGCATCCGGCGGGCGGCCGATCGATGGCTGGCTGGCTGGCTGGCGGGCGGCGGCCCGACGGCGCCGCGGGTCGGCGCGGCAGGTGCCGCCGGCGCCGCCCGCCGGCCGCCGAGAGCGTGCGAACACGACCGTCGCTGGGCGCCGCCGGCTCCCACGGGCGCCGCGCCCCTGTGCGCCGCCCTGGGAGCCGGCGGCGGCGCGCTCCCAGTGCGGCGGCCGTCGCCGAGCCCCGGCCGGAACGGTTTAAAAGCCGGCGGCGCGGCATCGGGCACCTGACGCCACTGTGCTTGCGACCGAGGGGTGCCGGCGGTCGGCCGTGTCGCGGCCCGGTCCGGCCCTGCACCGCTGTGGTCGCGGCCGGGCGTGCGTCGGCCGGCTGGGCCGGGTGCTCCGCGGCGCCGGGGTCCAGCGGCGCACGAGTCACGTGGCGCTCGTGCTCCGGCATGAACTGACGCCGAGATCCGTGCGTGTCGCTCGCCGGCAGCCGGAATTAGGTCGTCGGCGAACAAATCTTTAGCGGCGGGGTGAAGGGAAGTGGAGGCATGTCTGGGCATGGGAAGGGGGGGGGGGGGAACAGACTCAGCTGTACGTGAAGTATGCCCTTGATCCACAGCGAAGTTGGTTAGGCGGCTTGAGTGCCCTCAACACGTCTGCGCTTTTGCCATGGCTTACATCTATCTAGCCGGACAACTTCGGAGCCGGCGAAGTTCAAATTGCGCGGAGCCGGCGCCGTGAATGGATAACGATGAGTGATGGCGCCAAGCCCCAGCGATCGGGCCGCGGGCTTCATAGGAATTGGGCGTTTCATGCTGAAAGTTTCAGAGAGCGTCGGCGCCCAGGATGGCAAGTTTCGGAACGATGCCCCCCCCCCCCCCCGGCGAATTCGTCGTGTGGTCGCGGTCTCGTTGGTTGTCTGATGTTCCGCAGTTGATCCCGGTCTTGTAATGAATGCAGTTACGTGATCTAAATGTCATTGTCACTACTTTTGTTACGCTTATCTCTCCCGCATCCTGTTACTCCGAGCATTGACCTCAATGTGACCGTCTTGCCAGTGTCGCTTCTCGCCGAGAGAAGACCAACAGCCGCGGGTGTCGGCTCACTCTAAAGCCCCAGTCTCATTATCTTTGCCCGTGAGAATCCGAGACGAAGCTTCCCCAAATCCCCGGAAATAATCCGAACATTGTACCAGAAATGTGCACAATTAAATTCAGCATCAATTATCGCTAACAACGCGCTCAACAATTAGAGTCTTAATGCGCCGGCTACAGGACCGTAACTGCTGTTGCCGTTAGCACTGCAATCTTCCACAATGATTGCCGCGGAAAAACCTGAACACGCGATTAGCCTGACTTCCTCGACCTTCATGCCATGCCACCATGCTTCAGCGCTGACGCTCGCTGTCCCGTGATGAAACAACCGCGCTCGGGCCGAGGACCGGGCCCGCCCGATGTGTCAGCATTTCGTGTCGCTCTGCCGCGCCCCCTCCCCCCACACCCTTCGCCCGTCACCGCACCGCCGTGTCCTGTGTCCCGTGTCCGGCGCTCGGGGCTGCCGGGGCCGCACTGACCCGGTGACCTCACTCCGTTGCAGGCTGCCGCCGAGCTGGGCATCTCGGTGTGCAATGTGCCGGGCTTCTCCGTGGAGGAAGTGGCCGATTCGACCATGTGTATGATCCTGAACCTGTACCGCCGCACCTACTGGCTGGCACGCATGGTCGCCGAGGACAAGAAGTTCACCGGCCCTGACGCGGTGAGCACCCCGCCGATATAAACTGATCTGACGTGACGTGACGTGACCTGACCTGACCCCTGACTCGATCGCGCTGACCTAGCGGAACGAACAGCGTCCATGACCCGCCAGGACGCAGCCGACTCCTGGTCTCATCTGATGCCCGAGTTGAGCTGTGGTGCAGGATTGTCATGTTTGCCGCTTGCTGCGGCCGATCCCGAACAACCTTGACCCCTGAACTGACATGCCGCCCTCGCCTGACCCCTGACCCTGGAGCTGATCCCGGTCGCGGTGTCGGGCGACCGGCCTGCTAGCGTGCGGGCGTCGTGAGCGCTCCCGAGCGGCGACCGCCGCGTGTGATCAGGTCGTTGTGTGTTCGCGAGCTGCGGACGGCGCTGTAGCGACGCCGTAATCAGCCGGCTTCCTGGCATTGTAACGGTCCGGCGGCCGAGACGCGGCTCCTGCTTTGTGGGCGCCGCCCCGCTCCTGTGCAGCGTGCTGGTGTGTGGAAGACGCCAAGTTCGGCATAAGTAATACTCCCAGGTAATCCGCGATCTTGCTGGCCATTACAAACGACTTGTTTTGTTACGCAGACGAAGATTGTGCAACGTGCTTAGCGGTTGATAACATTTGTGATTTAGGGCATATATATAAAGCGGGGCAGAACTTAAATAAGCTAGATCGCGTTTGTGGGCAGGGATTTTGCTGTTTGTTTTACGAGGTCACGGGTGCGCTGATTTCAACGGAGCGATTGTGTCGACGCGCGGGAGTGGTATGAAAAGGACGTCGCGGAGGCTTGAAAGAACCAAGAACTGAAGACGGTTGGCTGATCGTGACCGTCGTCTACATTTCGCGAGTGCTCGCTCAACTCTGTTCGTTTCCGGCCGGGCTTTCCTGTCGGACCGGTGGCTCGACGCGGGCCAGCTAGTGCCGCGAACTACGGGTGGGGGGGGGGGGGGGACGTCCGGACGGCGTCGGCACTCACGGAAACAGCGCGACCAGGACGCTGCTGCGGCTTCCTACGCCCCCCACCCACGCGACGGAGCGCGCGCTCGCCGAGAACTTGAACCCCCATCGATGGGCCGCCCGCCGCTCCAGCGACTGACGTGACGGGCAGGGAGTCCGGCAGGCAGGCTGAGTGTCTCAATCCAAATCGGGCGAGAGCGGCGCGGACGGCCTCTGGGACCGACGCCGCCACGTTGGGACCGGCCGTGCTCCGATCTCTGGTGCCCCGTCCCCCTCCCCCTCTCGGTCCGCGAGCCACGCGGTCGATACTGGGGCGTCGCCGCGCGTCCCGCCGCTGCTCCCCTCCCCCCCCCCCCCTCCTCCACTCCTAGCCAGCGGCCGGCTCCATCTGCCTCACCGTGCCGGCTTCCGGTCCGGTCCGGTCCGGTCCGGTGCGGTGCGGTGCGGTGCGGTGCGGTCCGGTCCGGTGCAGTCCAGCTCCCGGTCTGGTGCGATCCGGCGTGGTCCGATGCGGTCCGGCCCGGTCCGGTGCGATCCGGCCCCCGGTCCGGTGCCCAGCCCGGCCCGGTCCGGTGCGGTCCGGCTCCCGGTCCGGTGCGATCCGGTGTGATCCGGCGCGGTCCGGTGCAGTCTGACGCGGTCCGGTGCGGTCCGGTGCGCGCGACATGTGGGACCGACTCTGGGTCCGGTGCGATCCGGCGCGGCCCGGTGCGCGCGACAGGTGCGGCCGGTGGCCACCGGGTCGAGCGTGCCCCCGGTCACGGCGCGATCAGAAGGCGTGGGGAGACGAGCAGGCGGCCGCGGCTGCACGCCGTGAACGAGAGGCCGACTGCGGCGCGTCCATTGGCCGGCCGGGCCGCTGTCGCCGGCAGCGCGCCGGCTTTGTAGAATGTCAGCGCCGGCAGCTCTCGTGTCGCCGATGGCGCGGACACCGCTGCATTCTATTGATCGCGACGGCAGCCCGAGCGGGTCTCGCGGTGGTTCTGGCTTCGGCCGCCAGCCAGCCAGCGGTGTCGCTCGAGCCTGTGGCGTCAGCGGCCAGCCCGCGAGCCGCCCTCCGCCCGGTACGGTTCATTGCGTGTCGACGAGGCGTCGTGTGTCGATCGGCGCAAACTTTTCTGTTTGTACCGTTCGAAAACTTGCCATTAAAACTCGGGCCACTTTGATTACCAAACTTTGCTCAACTATTATTTTCGATAACTTTGGAGCAAACTGCCAGTGAAGTTCGAGAAGTTTTAAGGCCAGCTAACTTGTGTAATTTGAAGTTGTTCGCCTCCCGCGAAAGTTGTGCGGCATCGAATGGAAATAACTCAGTGATACAGAAGTTCACCCGGAACTTAGGACAGCCAACCTACCTCTAGACATTGTCAACGTGAAATCGCGACACGTTTCGATGGTGCTTTTTTATTGGACGTGAAAATGTTCTTGGGAAGCTGAGTTCGGAAATAAATGAGAACCAAGTCAGCAAAATCACTGAGGACGGAGTCGCGAGTGGTGCGACATGAGTCACTGTCAATCGATAGCGAGGCGTGTTTGTGCCGAGCGATTTTCATTGGAGACCGTGCATCGTCCGGATATTACAAGTTCCGAAGTTTTGCCATGCCGTTCGGTGTTTTGTCCTCTAACGAGTCAACCTGCGAACCTGTGCAAAACTTGGGAGGCGTTTTGATCTTTTCGTGATACGAATATGCATGTGATGGGAGAATCATGCCCGTCAGGTCGTTGAATTTGGAAGTGCTCGTTGCCTCTGCCGTTGCGTACGATTTCCTTTGACTGAAGTGATTCGATAATTTGTTCAAAGTGCCTGTGTTTTGATATTTGCCTGGCACGTTCATTTTTTCGAAACAGTCCGCGAATGAAAACCTGTTGCTTACTAACTATTTTGCACGACCATCGGCCATTTCAGTCGCTGCCATTGCTGTTTGCTCTGCCCCCTCGTTTTGCTCGATACATGAACCTCGCGCCGGGCTGTGTTTCTCATGTGACGTAGTTGACCTCGCCGCTCCAATGTGGACACGGCTGCCCCGCCGTCTGTGGTGGCCCAGTATTCCACGGATTTCTCACGTTCCCCAACACGCAGCGTCTCGCATCGCGATCAACCGCCATCGCGACCTCCTGACCAGCCAGACGTACGCAACTCGGTCGCCGGTGTGGGTAACTGTGTGCCTATGTGTATGTCATCGTCCGTCAGTCCACACGCACATTCGCGCACTGACCCCCGCCCAGTCCGATCCGACCCGACCCGACCCGACCCGACCCGACCCGATCTAGCCTGATCCGATCTGACTGACCTCTGTGGCCCAGCAGTCGCTCTGATTTTGAGGCTGACCCCGGTGACCCGGCGGTCGCTCTGACCTGCAGACTGACCTCCGGCAGATCCGGGACGCGGCCAACGGTTCGGCACGCATCCGTGGCGACACGCTGGGCATTGTCGGCCTCGGTAGGATCGGCCAGGCAGTCGCCCTGCGCGCCAAGGCGTTCGGTTTTGCCGTCATCTTCTACGACCCCTACATCCAGGAGGGCATCGACCGCGCCATAGGCATCACGCGCGTCCCCACGCTGCAGGTGGGTGACGCTGGAGGAACAGGGCGGGAGGGGGAGAGGGGGGGGGGGGGGCGTTGTTGGGCCGTCTCTATGGCGCAGTGTGACGATGAATATATGGTTGGTGCGTAGTATCTGATCGAGCCCAGGATTGAGCCCGTCGTGCTGTTATCGTTGAACGGTCGTCAGCGACGCTGCGGGGAATGTCCGGTGTTTCAGGAAGCGGAAATGGCTTTGTGCTACTTGCGTCGACATACGGGAAGGCCGGGACACCTGGGCTTCTTTCTAACGCGTGCGCGTGCGTGTGGCGCGGCGGCTCCTGCGGGCGTCGCAACCGCCTCGCGCGTCGACCGGCCCCGCACGGGGTCACAGCCGCCGGCCCCGGCTTGCGGGGGTTCCCGGAGCCCCGCCAAGTGTGCCGACTTTTGTTGGTGGCTGGCCACCGACTGACTGCGACTTTGCGCGGCTCTCGGCGACCTGCGCGGCTCGCGGCGTCTGGTCCGTAACGAGCGGCGGCGGGCGCCGCCAGGGCCGCCCTCACCACAAGCTTTCGCTGGCCGCCCCTGACCGCCGAGCCCACACGGGCGGACATTTGCTGGTGATATCCGGCTGGCGGCCGGCTGGGTCAGGACTGGGAAGGGCGGTGCGGATGTCGGTGACCCCCCGTCTGCTGAGCGGCGCCGTCCTCCCCGCCCCCCCCCCCCCCCCTAACCCCTCCCCGGCTCAGTCTGGGCAGGGAGATGGCCACGATCAATGCTAGCACGTTTTCCCCGAGAAGAGGCTCACTTGGTTGGCTTGACAACGGGCTGTGGTTCCAGGATGTGCCTCCATGGGTTATCAGCATGCGTGACTGAGGCTCGAGCTGAGGCCCAGTCGGGGAAGCCAGTCCAGTAACACGAGTTCGCCTCACATCTCTGCGTGCTGCGCGCACCATAAACGCCCATTTTTGCCATCACTTCCATACCTTCGCAAGTCAAGTGTTACTGCAACGTTCCCCAACGGTCGGCGTAGGGTGGGTGCTGCGCCGGACCCCGGTGTGACACCTGTCGCCGGAACACGTCTCTCCGTCATGTTAGCGTCGGTGCTGTCCTGGACGGCTATGGAAAGTGGGCAAGGACCTGGTCCGGCGTTTTGGCACTGGTGCCGTGCTGGACCCCGTTTGACCCGTGTCGCGGGGCGAACACCTCTGCGTGTTGTCGACGCTAGTGTGCGCGGTGGCCGGCCGCGCCGTCGCCGCGCTGCCCTCTGTCGGCACCCGGCCGGCGACCGCTGCGAGCCCCGCTGACGCCGCCGTCCTCCCGCTGCAGGACCTGCTATTCCAGTCCGACTGTGTCACCCTGCACTGCACGCTCAATGAGCACAACCACCGGCTCATCAACGACTACACGATCAAGCAGATGAGGCCAGGTAGGCCGTCGGTGCGCAGCGGGCGGCCTCCGGACGCGCCGCCCGGACCGGGCTGCCGTGCGCGGGCGGGCCGACCGCGCGCGCGCGTGTCTGATCAGGCGGGGCGCCGCTGCCAGGGCTGTTTTTGTCCCCGCCGCTTCCGGACTTCTGAGAAACGTCGTGATAAACAGTGTTGACGGGGCGGCTGGGAGACGTGGCGTTTTTGTGGTCTGGCTGGGCGGGGGTGATCGGTGGCGGCGCGCGGGGGAGGGGGAGGGGATGGGGGCGGAGGAGAGGGGGGGGGGAGCGACAGCTGCGTGTCTGCGGACAGGGGCTGGCGTGGGCTTTTGAAGCTCTGACGTTGGTGGGCTCGAGCTCGGAGCCGACGTGTGATTTATCAGTTCGGCTGCGTGGTCACGTATCGTGCCCGTACTGGAATAGTACAGCAAAATTCGCGTTATTTCTGTGAGCCAGACGTTGTCAAGTCGATCGCTCTCTGCTCGGCTCTTCGGTCTTTGGGACTTCGGGTTGCCGTTGTCATTTTCGTCGCACGCGCCACGTCGCGTGGCGCGTGCTTTGCGTCGCGCGCGTGTACTGACGGCGTGCGGTGCGTCCCGCAGGCGCCTTCCTGGTGAACACGGCCCGCGGCGGCCTGGTCGACGAGGAGGCGCTGGCTGCCGCCCTCAAGGATGGCCGTATTCGCGCCGCCGCCCTCGACGTTCACCAGAACGAGCCGTACAACATCTTCCAAGGTAGGCGGCGCCAGAGGCGACAGGGGGACCGCCGGCGAAGCGCTAGTCTGTGAGCTGCGGGTGCTCGGGCTGTGTTGGATGCTGGCGTCCGGGTTAGTGTGCGCGTCGCGGCGCGTTCCTAGTGGCTCACAAACCGGACAATAGTGTCGGCTGGAGTGGTGCTCGTGACCCTGGTGGTGCCTGTGTCCTGTAAGCACGCGCGTGCGCGTAGTGCATCCGTGTGCTGGACATTGTTGTGTTTTGTGGCGCGAAGCTACCTCGGCGATCGCGACATTTCGTCACCACTGGCTACCCGGCCGTTGTTTTCCGTCGCCGTGGGCCGCGCCCGGCGTGAAATATGCAGGAGACCTCCGTGCGACCTTCTTCTGTGTCCACGCTGGACGGCGCGGCAACAGGCGACGGCGCGAGTACACGCGGCTCGTTCCACAGCATCACGCCGACCCGGCCCGTCCCCAAACTATGCAGCGGCACGAACGCGGCACGGCGGCCAACGCGGCGCCACTGCCCAATTGTCGGTTTTACGGACGACTTCACGGCCGCGGTGCCGCCGGCCTGGACGGGTCACATGGCGACTTAGGCCCCGTGCTGGGCCTCGCCGGCGTCATGGCAGCCGCGCTAGGTCGCCGGGCGGACAGACGCGTCGCTCCGCCGGCCGAAAATCGATGCGCTCGCACTCAGTGATCAGTTCGTGCTGGTAGTGTGGAGCAGTGCCGTTGTCCCCCCCCCCCTCACCCTGCACGGTCAGACGACCACCCCCCCCCCCCTCCCGGCCGCCGAACGAGTACTGGCCGCGTCCGACCGCCCCGGCTGTCGTGTCCGCAGGCCCTCTGAAGGAGGTGAAGAACAGCATCATCGCCACGCCGCACGCCTCCTACTACTCGGAGGCGTCGTTCACCGAGCTGCGCGAGGTGGCCGCCTCCGAGATCCGGCGCGCCATCGTCGGCCACAGTCTGCGCAATTGCGTCAACAAGGAGTACCTCAAGCTCGCCTCCTACGGCGACGGCCTGAACGGCGCCGGCGCGCCCGGGCTGCCAGCGCCCGGCGCTCCCGGCAGCTACTACCCGGCCCAGATGGCGCGTGGGGTGAGTGTCCTTCCTCATCCGCCGCCGCCGCCGCCGCCGCTAGCTAACACTGAGCCGAGCTGACCGCGGGGGTGCGGCGCGTGCGCGAGCGCTTGCGGGAGGGCGGACGCGCGCTGACGCCCGCCCGCCGTTGGCTGTTGCAGATGGGTGTGGCGGCGCACTCGACCTCGGCCCATGAGGCTGCGCCGCACTCCGCACCGTCCTCTCTCCCCCACCATCTCCCTGCGGCGCAAGTGAGTAGACCGGCGGCGCGCAGCCGTCCCCACTGGCTGGCTCGCTCGCTCTCTGGACGGGGGCACGGCCGCGCGCGTGCGCGGTGCGGCACCTGGTGCTCCGGTCCAGCCGACGTCCGTCCTCGTGTCCGCAGGCCGCCCTCCACCTGCACCTGCCAGCGGCGCTGGCGCCGCCTCTGTTCCTCCCGCCCGTCCTGGCCGGTCCGCTGCCGCCGCCACCGCTGCTGCCGTCTCCTCCGCCGCCGCCGCCGCCGCCGCCGCCGCCGCCGCCGCCGCAGCCGCAACCGCAGCCGCAGCCGCCGCCGGGGCTGCGCGGCTGGTCGCCGTCCGTCTCCCGGTCCTCGGCAAGTGGTCCCGGTGGTCCCCGCGGTCCAGTCCGAGCCGGGGCCGCCCTCCGGCTCGAGGACGGGTGTCCCAGACGGTCTGGCCGCAGTAGAACGCCTGTCGCCGTCCTGCTGCTGCCAAATCCGATTCCCCTCTTCTTGCTCATCATCTTGCGTGTTTCGGATGTTCTCATGGTTCCTCCTGCTTTCAAAGATCCCTTCATTCAGCCCTTGAGACGGACCTATGTTTTGATCGCACTTGGTGCTCCAGGCCTCCTTCATCGGCCGCCGTCAGCCAGCCGGCCCACCCTCCCCGAACCGTTCAACCCTCTCACCGAGCGGACTACCGCCGAGTCTGTGAGGCGAGGCTCCGGACGGACCGGCCCCGGCCCCGGCCCCGGCCCCGGCCCTGGCCCCGGCCCCTGCCCCTGCCCCTGCCCCTGCCCCTCCCTCGCCTTGCCACGCCTCCGCTCTCGCCCTGCCCCGCGCCGGCCACACCCACGGACCACGCCAGCTCGCGCGCCCCCGACCGCCGCCAGCGCACCCTCCCGCTCGGCGTCGGCGGCGCCAGGCCCGCCGCCGCCCCTTGCATGCCGCACGAGCGAGCTCGACCGACCGCGACACGCGGCCTCTGCATGCTGTGCTCTTGCATGACGGGTGGGACGCTGAGGGATGTCTGTGTATGAGTGTGTGTGTGTGTCTGCCGGTGGCAGGCGTCACCACTGTGGTTTTCGGTGGGGCAGGGCAGGCGAGATGGTGTTCGGTGCTCGGGCAGGCCACAGTTTGGCGTGAACACTGGTGTTGGCAGCCCCGCGACGCCCAATTTTCGAGTTTGTCACAATAAGGGGAACTTTGACAAGGCACTTCAGGGCTGAAAATTTTATGCTGCCGCCAACTTCTGTCCGCCAGGCTTTGTTCTGTTCTCGGGATCGCTGGCGAAGTTTGGCAAATTTATGTCCCAAGTTATCGCACGATCGAAACGAAGTCTGGCGATGTACTAAACTTTGCCGTCATAAACGACGAAAGAAGGTCAGGCTGAAAGGAAAGGCTGAACTATTGCGCGATCTAGTTTAAGTTGGTTGACTGTAGCTGAGTTGAGAAAAGAATGGAGAGAGTGGCTGGGAGGGGGGAGGGGAGGATGCGGGGAGGGGTCGTATTGTTCGTCGCGTTGCCTGAAATGACCCAGCTTTGACCCAGAACGGCTTCCACTCAGCCTGTGTCGGTCGTGAAGGTCATTAAGGTCACCCAGCACGTCTCAGTTGCGTCCCCGGTTGAGATTCCTACCCCGTCTTGGGTTGCGTCACCGCCCCCCCCCCCCCCCCCCGTCTGGCTGAGGTCCGAGCCGGTCCAGTGCGCTGGTGGTGGTCGCGAGCCGTCTGCTGATCGGTCGAGAGCGAACCCCCCGCGCCAGTGGGGCGCGCCGGTGCGCCCGGGACTGTGTGCCGCCGTGTGCTGTCAGCAGCGTGCCCAGCAGCGCACGGCGGCGCCGGCCGACCCACCACAGCAGGAGACGTACCCGATCTACCTGAGGGACGCGCTGGTAGTGGTGCGGCAGTCACCACAGTAGCCGGAGGGCCGACGGCTGCCGGCCGAGGCGTCTCCCGACCGGCCCCGACGGTCTGCGTGGTGCCGGCCGCGCGCACGGTAGTGTGGGCGGGGCGGGCCGGTGACGGGTAGTGGTTGTAACGGCGGCAGGGTCACGGTAGGGACGGTCTTCGGTGGTAAGGTGGAGGAGACGCGGCGCAGGGGGGGGGGGGGGGGGGGGTGCCGGCAGACCGGCTGGCGCCACCGACCGCCGGCGTAGTGCTGGAGCCTATGGGGCAGTGTAGGTGAGGGGGCAGCGCGTGGCGGCTCTGCGGCACCATAGCGGCGCGGCTCCGGAGCGGGACAGAAATGACCGCAGCCGCGCGGTGCGTCCGTAGAGGGACAGAAATGACCGCTGTAGTCGACGCGCCCGAATAGTCCCAGTCCGAGCTGGCGTTCGGTACTTGTCATTGGCGCTGGGATGGGGAGGGGGCATTTCAGCGTCCTTTCCCGGCCTGGGCCGTATGCCCGCCGAGCCTTCGGTATGCCAGCGGCTTGAAGAGGAATCTGCCATTTTCTCGAGAGATGCGTATTCATGGCTACTCCACCGCACTTTAGTCTCGCGCATCCAGCGTCCAGTGGATCAGAGTGAGGGGAAATAGCATGCAGTCTGCGAGCGTATTTTCGCATGGTCTTCTACAAGTGATCCCGAGAGCAGCGCTGCCTCGATTCCTGCATGGCTTATCACTAAACCCAACGCATTAACATTTACCATGTGGTGCCTATGCCACAGTTTTGTGATGTAAGTGACGCGAAGCTCGAGACCACTTATGGGCTCATTTGCAGTGTAGGATTGCTAAGATCCATGCTAATTGCATAAATGTACTTTCACCCTGCTTCGGTGTTCTCATCTCCGTTATGTGTCTAGAGAACAGAACATCGCATTACTTGACTGTCGTTTACCGTTGTTGAGTGACCCAGCACATGCGCGCTGGGGCGGCGACGCGGTCATTCTCGCCTCGCTCTCGGCAGCTGATCCACTGCCCCTGCGATCCGCCCCTCGCGTGTGCTCACCGTCGTTCCGCCCGTGACCTGTGACGTCACACGACGCCCCTTTGTTTTCAGCCGACCAGCACGCAAGAGAGCCATAGCCTAATAAAGCCAGAGTCGTCGGACATTCACTGAGTGGCGCCGGGGAGTGCGCCGCGGGGCATGGGCGGCGCCGGCGCGCGCCCGCCGCGCCGCCGGAAGACGGCTGGCGGCACCGGCCGCAGCGGCACGGCCTCGCAGACGCGGCCATGTGATAGACGGGGCGCGGCCCCGCGACACGGCGCCGCCGGCCCCATTTGTCTCACTCTCTGTGTTCGAAGCGCCGGGGGCTGCGCGTGCGAGAGGGGCGTGAGAGGCGCGCGCGCCGGCCGCGCGGGAGTCGCGCTCGCGGCGCCTGCGTACGTGTTGTGTGTGCGCGTGTGCGTGTGCGTGTGCGTGCGTGCGGGCGCGTCTCGGACGGACGGCGGGGCTGGAGTGTGGTGTTCGACGAGCGATCGCCGACTCCTGTACAAAACCGCATATTTTTGCTGTGTCGCGGCGAGCGCGCGGGCCGGCGACTGAGCGAGTTGGCCTCTATTTTAACGCCCTCCGAACGGTGGACTCCCCGGCCGTCAACGGACGGCTGGCCGGGCCCCCGGCCAGGGCTGGGCCGGCGGCGCGGCGGCGGCCGTCGGCCGACGTCCGACCTCGGGTCACCGCCGCGCCGCCGCCGCCGGCGCGCGGCCAGCCCTGTGTATACTAGCGTTCATGGTCATTCGGTCATCATGTAGATCTTCCATAAATAAAGGAGACTTAACGTTTGTCCGTCTGTTGAGGTGAGTCTGCTGCAGTGCTGGGAGTGGGAGTGCCGCGAGTACTGAGAATCCGCAAGGAACTACTCCCGCTGGGACGACCCCGGGCTGCGTGTCTGCGAGTCAGGCTGCGAGTCCGTTGCTGTGCAGTGTCTCGTCATTGCATTTCATGGCTCACTCCTGGAACATTCGCAAGAAGCGCCGCGCCAGCGTTTAAACCTTTATTTAATCATTTCCCCAAATGGCAACAGCGTAGCAGGTCACTGCGCAGGCTCACGCCCGGGCGGCCGTCAGCTGACCGCCGACACGTGACGTCACGCGGGCGTTCGGCGGCCGCGCCGACGGCTCACAGCTGGTTACCGAAGAAGTTGGCGGCCATGGCCAGGATCGGCGAGCCGGTGGGCACGCCGGGGAACGGGCCCGAGCCGGCGGCGATGTCCAGGTGCGAGTAGCGGAGCGGCTTGTCCGAGTCGATTCCGTGCTGGCGGGAAGGCAGGCGTGGTGAGAGGACGCGGCGACGGGCGACTCATCGCTCGCCATCGGTTGTTCCGGCCGCCGCCGCCAGCAAACGCTTTCGTTTAACTTGAGTGATGTGTGGTCTGCGCCCCGGGCGGGCGAGCCGTCGGGCAGAGGGGGAGGAAGGGCGCTACTGACCTTGTCCAGTCCCGAGGCCAGCACGAGGAAGGCAGCCGGGCCCTGGTGACCGCGTGGGGTGCGCGAAGACGGAGCGTTGTTACACTGCAGCACATCCTCGTACTCGGATTTGCCTGGACAGAGGCATCGGGTCAGCAACACAACAAGCTGGACAGAGGCATCGGGTCAACAACGCAATGAGCTGGACAGAGGAATCGGGTCAACGACGCAGCAAGCTGGACAGAGGCATCGGGCCAACAACGCAACAAGCTGACGCCGCTGCCGTGACAGAGGCATCGGGTCAGCAACGCAACGAACTGACGCCGCTGCCGTAGCAGACGCGAAGTGGTCGTATCAATTGCCCACTTCAAGCACGGCCGGGACTTCGCGATTCGGTGCAAACATGGGCGGCGGCCTGTTGTGTTTGAGAACGCTCATCTGAGTCTGAACACGATATGGCGCGGCATGGCATGACGTCACTGCCTCCACGGCTGCCACGCGTGCCACAAGCGCAACAAAGGGCACGGTCCCCCCCCCCCCCCCTGCAGCCGTCGCGCGTCCGTCCCCTCAGCGGCGCCGCCGCCAGCGCTCACCGCCGTGGAAGCAGTAGTCCTCGCGGCGGATAGTGTTGATCTCGAAAGGGTCGCCGAGCTGGTCGCCGGCCTCGGCGAAGCGGTTCGCGCAGTGGGCCAGCCGGGCCGGCCCGTTGTCCAGCACGGAGCAGTAGCCGTCGCCGCAGGCCAGTACCGCGTGCCCGGTGAGCGTGGCCACCGTCATCAGGTAGGGGTTTACCTCGCCCGCCGCCCGCTCCTTCATCTGCGGACGGACGGCGGGCCGGTGACGGCCGTGTCTGGGACGGGACGTGGCTTTCATTGTCGGGCGGCGCACACGGCGGCGGCCGATGCCGGGGCGGCTTGTCGGGGTGGGGCGATGGTGAGCGGCGCTGGGAAGGGGAATGGGGAGTGAGCAGGCGGGATGGGCGTACGAGGAGGGAGGGGTATCGTTTGCCAGTCGGCGCTGAGTGGGAGGTGCTGGCGTCAGACGCGGCTCAGTACCGTCTGGATGCGGTTTGTCGGCCAGGGCTCGCCTCACCGCCTGAGGCCGGGTACACGGCTCTCCAAACGGGCTTCTTTGCAAAGTTCCCCCAGAATGTGGGGAGGGTTCAGTTCGGTGCGGCGCCCTTTCCTTGAGGGGGAGGGGGTAGGCCCTCGGCGATTCAAGTTGTACAGCACCATTCCAATTCGGGCAAAATAGGATCGGCACCGATCCGTGCCGCTCGCTCCGAGGCGTCGGTCCTGGAGAGGTTTGCAGGGCTCCCTGACCCACGCCCTCGTCACGCCCAGTGAACCCAGCGCTGGACCGCGAACATCGAGCTCAAAGGATCGAACACGAGCAGATTGGAGTGCGATCGGGGGTTCTCTCGAGGGATGTTGAAAGCGTCTGGCTTTCCGCGGAATCGATTCAAAGAAGTTAGCGCTGCTTCACGCGGCCAACTCCGACTTCCGTGAAGTTTGATTGGACTGATTGGACCGGCTCCGGTGACTTCAGGAAGCGAAGAGCTTCCTTTTCGCATTCAAAGGAGTAACACGCTCATATGTAGCGCTGGTTACCGCCACTCCACTTGAGGTGCGAGCGGATGAACGGTGCGAACCGCACCACGCGTGCCGCACCCTTTTTACGCGACCGGCTGAAGTCTCAACAACTTTCGAAGGTCTCGGCGTCACCCGTCCCGGCCGCCGTGCCACTGACCGCGCCTTTCTCAAGCCCCGCCGGCCAAGTTGGGGGCACACTCTGCCAGAGCCCGGTCCACACCAGACAGGGTGTCGCTGGCGCACTCACCAGGCAGAGCAGGTCGGCCATGACCATGCGGCCCTCGGCGTCCGTGTTTCCGACCCTGCCGGAAGGCGTCCAAAGGTTATCAGTGACGTCACAGAGCATGTAGCACGCCCGCGCCGTTCAGTCTAACATCGACCGTCTGCAGTGCGACTCCGAACACGGACATTCCCAGTCGTTGTCTTAGCATCAACCATTGAGATCCCTGTAGCCTCCCGAATTGACTGGCTAAGCTTAACCGACCCAGCATCTCACCGAGGTGGCAAGCCTGCACGGAACCTGGAGGTGTGAGCGTCAAGAAATCGCGACCGACCGCGACCTGACCTCGTGACCGACCTCGCACACCGTTCACAGCAGTCAGCCAGCGGCCGACGAAACGACGAGCCAAGTCTCAAGCCAACCATAAACATTCACGGGTCTCGGGCTACCTCCATCCAGTTAACCACGCTCAGCTCAAACATCTGCGATCAAACTCGACAAAAGACGCCAGTCGTCTCTGCAGTCCTTCGCAACGCACGGTTCAGTTATAACCTGGGCCCCCTCCCCTCTGTCCACTTCCATAACGAGCAGTCCTCTGTTGTGGACATGATCTAAGGCGAGAGACTCTGACCCGACGGGAGAGGAGGCTCGCTGGTGACGGAGGGAAGGTAAGGTGGGCCGGGGGAGGGGGTTCTGACAAGACAGGGAGGAGCCTCTGGTGGGACGGGGGCTCTGACTTAAGGGGAAATGGGGCTCAAATGTGACGGCAGAAGTGACTCTTACCTGACCAGGGAAGGAGGAGGCTCTATCTAGCGTGACGGTAGGAGGTAACTCTAACCTGACAGGAGGGAAGCTCTAGCATGACGGTAGGAGGTAACTCTGACCTGACAGGGGGGGGGGGGGCGTGACGGCGGGGGCGACTCTAACTTGACAGGGGAAGCTGTAGCGTGACGGCGGGGGTGACTCTGACCTGACAGGGGGAGGCTCTCGCGTGCCGGTGGGGGTGACTATGACCTGACAGGGGGAAGCTCCAGCGTGGCGGCGGGGGCGACTCTGACCTGACAAGGGGAAGCTCTAGCGTGCTGATGGGGATGACTCTGACCTGACAGGGGGAGGCTCCAGCGTGACGGTGGGGGTGATTCGACCTGACAGGGGGAGGCTCTAGCGTGACGGCGGGGGTGACTATGACCCGACAGGGGGAGGCTCTAGCGTGACAGTGGGGGTGACTCTGACCTGACAGGGGGAAGCTCTATCGTGACGGCGGGGGTGACTCTGACCTGGCAGGGGGAAGCTCTAGCGTAACGGTGGGGGGTGGCTCTGACCTGGCAGGGGGAAGCTCTAGCGTGACGGTGGGGGGTGACTCTGACCTGGCAGGGGGAAGCTCTAGCGTGACGGTGGGGGGTGACTCCGATCTGGCAGGGGTAAGCTCTAGCGTGACGGTGGGGGGTGACTCTGACCTGGCAGGGGGAAGCTCTAGCGTGACGGTAGGGGGTGACTGACCTGATGCGCACGCCCGCCCGTGACGTGATGATCTCATCCGCGACGTAGCCGTCCGCGCCCACCGAGTTGCGCACCATGCACATGACTCCGATGACCTTGATGCCGGCCGGACGCAGCTCGGCCAGCGTCTGCGGGTCACAGGTCGCGCCGAGGTCAAACATCACACACGGGAACCTGCACCTGGAGATGGTTGCTTTGTTGCTGTGCTTGACGTTTAAACACAAGAATAAACCCCGTAAAGAAAAGCAAGAGACCGTGTTGGATATTCAGAATCGCAGTGTTTGTTGGCGAACCACAACGCGGATGATAACACTTTGCGAAATGTAACTTTTTTAACGAGCGCAAGGACCTAACGCTGTCAAACGCTCTCAGGAGGCTTACAGCTTCACAACCTTAATGCACAGATGGGTGAGTGTTATCTAAAATGGAGTCATGTTTTGACATTTACGTCGAAGCAATTTCATTGTTTCATTTTCAATTGACGCTGTACACGAACATTTCCTGTGCAACACTGCAAGACGCAAGTCAATAATGGACTTAGCAGCTTCTAATGGTAGACGAGGATCAGCGCATCAACATGTGGCGCCATGGTCAGTTAATCTGAGATTCCTCGCTGCAAACATGTGACAAACGGGACAAACATAACCGCCTACGTAACGGGCGTAATGTCAGGCTTGGCAAATAAGGTTTCGGATAGTGGCACTCAAGCCCATATTAGTCAATTTTCTTGTCAGTTCTACAACAGGTCGTCCCAGTAATTCAATGACCCCTGAAACATGAGAAGGTCATATAAATGGGATCGATCACGAACTAATTGCTGCATTAATTATTTGAACCTTGCACCGGTGCACTCACGAGTTCACCCGCTCAGCATGCGTGGACCAGGAGAGACTTAGTCCCGAGACAGCGCGCCCAAATCGCTCGACTCGAGCACCGCGTGCACGGGGCCTGTTCCAACAGCGTCGACACAAATCGCCGTCTCGTGCAGCGAGCCAGAACAGGCGCCCCCTGTCGCCGTCGAATTAACTGGAGCGCCGAGCGGACGCGGGCGCGCTGGCGGCTCTGCGGCCGTCGCCGGCCGGCCCCGAGCGACCGTCAGCGCCGGCGCTCGGCCGCCGCGTCGGAAGTTAGCGGAGTCGCCGGCGATCGGCGACGGCGACGAACGCCGGCGGCGGGTTATTCGGGGCGCGGGGCCAACTTCCAACAATCTGCCGGAAACTTGCGCCGCGCGCGTGGCTCGTGGCCGCCGGCCCGCTGACTTGTCGGCCAACTCGGCGCGGCGGCGAACTTGGCGCGCGTCGGAAACGAAGCGGGCCGCGGTTGAAGACGCTACAGTGGTGCGACTGTCCAGCTGACGGCAGGTTGATGGGAGGCGGGGTTACGGGTTGTGGGGACGGAGCGGAGGATGGGGCAGGTGATGGCGATGGCGGAGGTGAGGCAGACAGGGTAGAATCGATTGGGCCTGGGAGAAGACGGAGAGGGAGGAACGAGGAGGGGAGGGGGGGGGAGGGAGTGACGTTTTGACGAATATTCTTCCATTTTTTAGTTTAAGGAGTACATTAAGAAAGCAAAGAACGGGACGTGACAAGTTTCACCGGATAAATTTGCCTTGGACGAGGGAAGGGGCATGTTCTCCCAGTTTACCAATAAAACAGGTACAACTGAGAATACAAGCCAGGTTGGCGGACTTGAGCCCACATTACGAACCCATGCCCGCCGATGTCTATCCAAATTCCAGCAACAAGAGCACGAACCTTGAAGAAGCCTCCGACCGCTGCCGCTCCGCACTTGTCCCTGTGCATACCGGCCATAACGCCACCCGCCTTGATGTCCAGACCGCCTGAAGCGAAAAAAAACACGTGTCCAATCGCTTGGCTGAGAGACCAGAAGCCTACAGAGGACGACTCAAGATGCGATATGCCGCGCCACTAGCAGAAGAAAATGGAAAAAGTAACGTTTCGGTGGTGCCGAATAATTTCTGGGACGCTTAACTTCATCACGGGATTTGCATCCGCCTGGCGCGAGGAGATCTCGGAGACAAAACAGCTCCGACAGTCGCAGCCAAGCAAGAACAGGGCACATTCCAACAACTTGCCGCCTCAAAGACGGGCGAGCCGCACAATAGCATCTCTGCAAGCCGGCATTCTAACAACAGCGCAGCCCCACGCAGTCCATGGCGATGGCCCCGGCGCGGGCGCGCGAGCCGATGACCGCGCGCGAGCGGCGGCCACTGACCTGTGTCGTAGGTGATGCCCTTGCCGACCAGCATGTAGGTGTGGGTGATGGGACCCTGACCCTCGTACGTCAGGTGGATGACGCGAGCACGGTGGCGTGGGACCACTGCAAACGGACGAGGGGTGGGTCTGATGCAGCCGTGGGCGAGCGCTAACCTTGAGTTGGCAAAGCTTTGCACAACTGAGAGAAAAGGCGCAGGCATAAGTTGGCCTCTGATGAATGTCTGATGGGCGTAGTTGAACGCGAGGAGCTGACAACACTTCGAGAGCGCTAGCGGAATCCAAGGTAGGCAATAAGCATATGATAACTCACTGCAAGCCCACATCAGGCACATCAAAGTCGTACATTTTGCGAGTTAAAATGTACGATAATTTGACACATCAACGCTCGTTTCGAGGAAGTAAAGCTCTAGCGAAACACTCCATCTTCGGGACGAGCTTAGGTATTTCACGCTCTCCGACACGACGACGGCGGAGCCCGGAGTGGTTCAGCCCGACCACAGCCGGTCCGTGCTTAACGACCTTCGGTCAGGGGCCAACACCACCGACCTGAACGCGCCCGCCTCTGCGGGTCTCGAGCCGACTGGAGGGCTCTCCGTCAGGCGGCCAACATGCCAAAGTTCAAGCGGGACGGCAGGAGCCAAGTGGGGGTACTCGCCGGCTGCTCTTAAGGTCAGCCCATAACCGCCGATAGAGCATCCCGATAAATCAGCCGGTGTCCGAGACGCCGTCAGTTGCCCGGTCACTAGCCGGACAAACCACAATCTTAACAGCTGTGAACCGAGACCTGGTCTACGTTACTAACGCGAACAGTCTGAAGCGCCAATGTTCCCACGCCAGACTTACTAAACCACCCACCAAGAATCCCTTAAACAGCTCGGTAGATCCACAAGCCCGGACGGTCCCAATAGCCTGGCCTCGGTGGTAGCAATATCCCATCATTCCCTCCCCCCCCCCCCCCCGGCCATCGAGGAAGGTCAGCCCGACGCACCTGCGGCCGCCCGGTTGACGGCGGCCAGCAGCGGATACTTGGCCTTAAACGGCGTGTCGCTGTCGTCCTCCTGCTCCACCTCAATCTTGACCTGGCTGCCCTTGAGCACGTGCTGCATGTACTCGGCCACACGCGGCGCCGCCATCCGCTCCGGGTCACTGCCGCCGATGTCACGCGCCACGAACCTGGCGGCCGAGGTCACAGGTCAGGCGCGCGAGGTCATCCACGAGCCAGGCACGCAGAAGGTTCGAACGGCGAGCAAGCGGTTGGCAGCGGGCAGGGGCGGGGAGCGTGAAGAACGGGGCTGGACTGATACGATGAGCTCTACGCCGGACGCTGATCCTCATGTGCAGCCAACATGGCCTTGCCTTTACGGGAATCGTTGATGGCAAAGGCTGCGAGAAGCAGTGCATGAGGATCAAAAACATCCAACAGCGTACAATTTTCAAATCTTGTCTCCCAGTCCCCAGCCTCGTGATCGCCCAGACGCAGCTCCGCTGGCTACACTACCACCCCACGAAGTGTCGCGCTGGTTGACCAGGTGGTGTTGCTGGCGCTTACCGTCCGCTCTCCAGGCCCAGCGCCGACTGGATGACCCGTTCGAGCGCCGCGCGCTGCTCGCCGAACACGAGCAGCCGGTCCACCTTGGTCAGTCGCTTGGTGTCCGACGTCTTCACGGCGTGCTCACGCACCTCGATAGGCTGACGAACACACGGGGTCACAGGTCATCGGTCGTGTGTTAGAGGTCATAGGCCAGAGTTCACGAGTCGGAGGTCATGTTTTAGGGGTCGTTTTGCGCCCACGGGTAAGGTCACAGGTCAGATCACGGGCCATGGACCAGATCAAAGATCAGAGGTCAAAAGTCTCGTGCCACCTGTGACGAGTGAGAAGTCACGGGTCGCCGGCTGAAAGCCACACGCCAGTGGTCATAGGTCAGGTAACCTTAAGTCACGGGATGCAATTCACGTGCTGACTTACGAGCTAGAGGTCATGGGCCAGAGCCCGCGTGCCAAAGGTCACGAGCCAGAGGTCAAGGGCCAACCGTCACTTGCTACATGGCACGGGTCGGGTCACGGGTCGCAGATCATATCACAGAGGTCACGGGTGATTTCACTGACCAGGGGTCACCCAACAAGGGTCACAGGCCGTGTCGGGGAGGGTTAAGAAAGAGACGATGTGGGGCGAGCACAGAATGCGCACGATGTAGATAGGTGAGAATGTGTTGAGTAGGATGTGGAGACCACCTGGATGATAATGTGGTTTGGAGATGAGCATGACGTGAAATGGAGGCATGACGTAAAAGGCGGTGACGTTGGGATGGTCAAGGTGGCTGCTGGGTGACACAAATGAACAGGCTTCTATTACGGAGAAGCAAGGATTCAGGCGTGAGACATATGCTTTGCTTCCACCATAACTTTCATAATAGGCTGCAACAGACCTGTTGTTAATTAGCAATTTCTAGATACCTCGCGCTGGACTACCCCACACGCACCGTCCCCTTCAGCCAGCACCCCAGCGCCGCCAGAGGCCGTTAGCCGGCGGCCCCCGCTCACCACATAGAGGGCGTGCAGCGCTCCCAGCAGCGAGTTGAGCGTCGAGTACTGGTACTTGGGGTATGGCACAGTCACCAGCAGGGGCGCCCGGCTGCCGGCCGCTATCGCTCTGGGAGGGCGGCAGCGAGAGCGTCAGGGGAGCGATTCAAACACGCGGTCGCAGCATCGTCAGTCGGACAGGCTCGTGAACAGCTCACATGGACTGAGGCTCGCACTGATACACCGATAACTCGCTCAGATGACATCAGTGATGTGTTTTGTCATTGGACATGGGCATGGAGAGTTAAAAGTGTTGCATGAACGTTGCCGAAGCATTACGTCGGCGGCCACCCAAAACGTGTCTAAGTGCGCCAAGAAAGCATCCCACCGACAACCCCAACCGCCGAACACCATCGCTTCTCAACCGCCCCGGCCTGCCCGGAGCCCCTCCCCCGTCATCCGTCCCCCATCACACACACGGACCTCTTGATGCCCTTCTCGGCGGCCTCGGCGAAACGGCGCACATCGTCGTAGTCGCGGTTAAGCGGGCCCGTCGGCGCGAACACCAGCCGCTTCGCCGGGAGCTCGACCGGCACCACAGCACCCTCTGCGTCGAGCGCGGCGTTCACCGCGCGCAGCGCCGTCAGCGGCGCCTGCAGCGCCGCCAGGTGGCCGGGCAACTTCTCCACGGAGTCGGTGACGAGGACGATGGCGTCGGCGTCAGCCGCGGCCAGGTCCGTCACGCCCTTCACGCGGCACGGCGAGCTGCGGGCAGCCAAGGGTCAAGGGGGCATGGACGAGCTGCGGGCAGCCGATGGTCAGGGAAGACGCGGGAGAGCTCCCGGACAGCAGAGGGACAGGGTTTCCCACGAGACACGGCGAGCTGCGGGCAGCCGAGGGTTAGGGGGACGCGGGAGACCTCCCGGACAACAGAGGGTCAGAGCTCTCCACGAGGCATGGCGAGCCGCGGGCAGCCGAGGGTCAGGGGACAAAGGCGAGCTCCCGCACAGCAGAGGGTCAGAACTCCCCACGAGACACGCCGAGCTGCGGGCAGTCGAGGGTCAGGGGGGTGGGGACGCGGGCGAGCTTCCGGGTAGCAAAGGGATAGAGCTCCCCACGAGACACGGCGAGCTGTGAGGCGGACAGGGGTCAGAGGTGGCGGCGTTTCGCCCGGTGCGGTGGGCAGTGACGGGAGGCGGGATCAGGCCCACCTGACAGGGCAGGCTGTGGGCGAGTGGAGTGTCGAACGGGACGAGACGGGACGACACAATGATTCGCTCGGCGTGGTGGTTGCAGGGGACCGAAGGGTCAGTGGGATGGAGGGGAGGGGGGGGGGGGGGCGACGGAGGGGTGGACAAGAAGGGATAAGGATGACGCCCGACGTTTATGACGATTGGAAAAGCCTGCGGTGTGCGCCCCCGGTCTTGCGGGCGCACGGACACCTTGTGGACTGGAGATGACAGAAAAGAACCGCAGAAGTAAACTTTTCTGGCGCCACAGCGACCGGAGACCAAGCATCCTTGATGCATGCCGTCTGAGTGGTGCCATTATATGGTAGCCATCCCGAAGGTCTTCTGACTTAGCGCAGCCCGCTGTGGGGAGATCTGTCTCGAAATCTGCTATATCAGCAACCGTGGCCTCTTGAGATATCAGCCCCGGAACTCAAGCACCAGCGGTACTTTAGCACAGATTCACCTTATCGTGTAAGTCACGGGAAACGGCTCTGAGTTCGACCGAACTTTTGCGTTCACTAGGCCTTGCCTTGGCAAGTTGCCAGAAACGGTGAAGAGAGTAACGAACAAACGAGCACGTTCCGCTGTTGGCGGCGGTCGTCGGACCAGACCGTCCGGGTCCGGCGGATTGTGACTTACACCGCTCGATTGTATATGCTGATATGACAGTCGTTTTCGGGCCTGCTACCGATGAACGGAAAATTGAGTCTCTTCGCCGCATTGAAACTTTTGTGTAGCTGCAATTGGACGCTGTCACAATTGGGCGCTTGCCAGTTTTTTTTTTGGCATCAGGAGAAGTCGGTGAGCTATCAACGTCGGGTGGCTGAACAGTGCTGACTTTATGAAGAGGCGGACAGACATCTTAAATGATAGTCATGTGGGCGCAGCTGAGTACTCAAGAAACCAATCTTCGAATTAAATACCTGGATAAGCATCGAGACATGTTTAATCAGCAAATCCTGCTGTTAATGTCAGTCGGTGTACCTTATAATAACCTAAATGATTTGTAAAGGTTGACTGACTAATACGCTGTTTGTGTTTACTCATGTGCTTAACTGAACCGCTTGATTGTATGTCGCCTTGCCAATTCAGGGTCCCCACTGACACATAGGCACAGATTCCAGTAACCTCCCCAAAGAAGTCGAGTTGGGCTTTGGGGCGTGGAGACTACCCTGTTCATATGGCGCCCAACAGTGATCTCCCCATTCACGACCAGGTTCGTCCGTACGCCGCTGCTCAAGGACTGCAGCACAAGGAGAGGGGCTACGGCGAGGACCGGCCCCTCACCAAAGCTTCGAGATTAATCACCACGTCTGCGTGCGTTGCATGCAAAAAACGCATTATGCAAACTGGAAAGCCCCAAACTTACGATACGTGGCAGAGGCCTATGGCCACTCACCAGCCCCACTCCGGTACGTGATCTCCTGATGCCATGGCGGCTGTTGAGAACCTTCCGAGGGAAAAACCTGCAACGGAAAGGACAAACTTAACCGAGGTGCCTAACTGACCTCACACATGCAACGCCCACTACAAATAACTGCCGCCAAAACAGGAGTCGTGACACTGCTTTAAAAGGACACCGCTTTTACTCGGGTCCCTCCAGTCTCACTCCTGTTCAACTATTAATGCGAATAGACCAGCTGTCAAGAACATCCTAAAACGCGTCGGAACACAACGCACAACCGTGCCAGTTATTCATGGGACTTTTTTGATAAGTTTGGAAATTATGTGTGTGACACCCTTAAGCGCCAATCATCATCTTCTTCATCATCATCAGAATTTCCGCACGTGGCATATTTTTATAGCATATCTATGTTGTTATATTACATTACCCATCGCGTTGTTCACTTCTACACGCTACTTAATCGAGCCTTTGTAAGCCGGCCGATCGCCACCGCTTCGCCGCCCCTGCCCTTTGCGCAGAGGTCACGTGTTAAGCCGAACCTCCGTCGGCGCCAGTCACGTGTTTTGCCGGGCCTTGGTCGGCACCAGCCACGTGTTTTGCCGGACCTCAGTCAGCACCAGTCCCTGCGGTACTGCGCGGTCCAGTTTTTGGGCGGTGTTTTGCACTGCCTGACGCGGATGCCGCGGTTGGACATGTATCGTGTTTTTACGCAGGCGGGGGACGGTCCACGAGCCGAAGCTGCCCTCCAGGCTGTACTCAACGTAGCAGACCATGCTGTTCTTATCATGGAAGCGATGGAGATAAGCCACAAGCGCCTGCTCCCGGATGCGACGAGCGTAGTTTATGTTTCTATTGAGATCGGCGCTGCGATAATGTGCGGCCGATGCCCAGTCACAGCTCTTTCCCTCGTGCTCAGCGCTGGCCCTGACCTCCGCCGCAGCCAAGCGGATCATATTGCATCCAACGCCAGAAATTGGCGCAGTGGGCTGTCGGCTATCGCTTACGCGGTGCAACATGCATTCGGCATTCCGGAGCTCGACGGCAACGCCCCGTCAAGCATGTGAAAATACACACGCACCAACATTCTATACTGTGTTTAAAACACAGACACGATGGCAGGAGCCTACAGCCGTCTCTGCAATGACGTCGTCTGCGGCGGCGCTTAGCGCCCCACGTAGTTATGCACAGTCCGCACGTTTAAATGAGAGCAAGCCATACCAACTATGGTGTAAGCCAGTCCCTGAGAGTTAATTAACTTCAGTTCAGCACCCCTCTTGTCACAGAACAAAACGAATCGAACGTCACGAAGAAGTAAACACTTACTGTGTAAACAACAAACAACTATAAATACGCTGCCCAATGGTGGTAGTGCTGACCTTGTCTAAGCTGCTGGGCTGCAAGACCAGACGCTACTTTTTGCAATTCAGCCGTTACGGCCGGGGCCCTCCGCCTTTACTCCACCACAACCTCGCACCTAGCGAGTGCCTCTCGCGAGACACCGCAGAGGTCAGCCCAAAGGTCAGGGGGCCCCAGCCAGCCAATCGGACCACCGCCTACCGCTCGGGTTTCTCCCGCCCTGGCTGCTGACTGCAAAGCAAGCGTCGGAGACGGTTACTGAGAAGTGCCAACAGTGACCGTAGGCACGCGTGTCACGAGCCTGACCGTGATGGGGACGTGGCGCCGGTGATACGGCACGCCTACCGAAAGAGTGAATGACAGGTGTCGCAGGCATGGCCGCGAAGAAGCAGCACGCAAAGCCAGCAGTACAACCCTTCCCACCAGAACAAGGCTGCCATAGGAGGCGTTCCAGCGAACCAGTGCTGTGACCTTTCCCACCGCAAAGTGCACGACGTCCAAAAATGACGAGCCTGCCGCATCGCCGACTAAGTCGCGGAACGCATCAGAAAGGGGACTGATATGACATTGTTGGTACGCCGTCTCCGAGGACTTACGCCAAAAAGGGTAATCAACGGTCGGGTTTGTCGACACTCAGCAGCGACGTGGGAAGCGGGAATGTCGTTTCGCCTTGTCGCGGAGCAGCCAGACACTCCAACACGAAACAGTAGTAAACTTCTACACCAAGACCCGCTGAGGCCTAAAACTACTTCAACGAGAGGCCGCCAATAATTACGGCACATTACGACTGCAACGACTCCAAGTGCGGTCGAGGATCGCCGCCTGGCATGCCAGTAAGCTAAAGTCCAATTTCCGAAGGGCCTCTCCGGGTCACCGACCCTCTGCCTGTGGCCGGAGAGCTAGCAGTCAGAAGCCGGGGGAGCTGCAGACGTGCAGACGTGGGGGCGGGTGCCGACTACTGTACCTGCCCCAATCCCCCGGGAGAGGGGGGGGGGGCGACAGAGGGTCGGTGAGAATCCCCGACAGGCAGGTGGGTGAGTCCCGGAGGCGTACAGCGGGTTCGAACGATTCAATGTCACTTGCGAGAAGACTAAAACCTACCTGAACTTCATGTCATCAAAGCAACATAATGCCGTCTGCATGTGCCAGCATTCTGACCCTCATTGACCGACCCGTGGTAATCAGTATCTAGGATCAACCGAAGCCTGACCAGATCGGTAATCTGGAAACGGAACGCCCCATTTGTGACTGCATGCTGGCATTCTGATCTTTCTAACCATAAGATAGCGCTGCAACAGGCACATGGACGTGAAGATCACTACAAGCTGACCGTCGGCCCAACAGCTGAGTCACTGGTGGCATGGGTTGCAGTAGAATCCACTAGACCTAAGGTCGCTTCCCCTAAAACACGTAGTGTTGGAGGAATGCCGCATGCCTGATTCGGCGCCACGCGGGAATTCATCGAAGCCGTAACCCTACTTAATCATATATTTCTTCGTTCACTTCATCGACCAAGAGTGCTAAATTAACGTTAGTAATTGAATTAATTGTACTTAAGTTGGATAAATCGTTTAATATTAACGTCGGTGCTTGGAGCCAAGCAGAAAGCAGGGGAAACTCATAAACCAATCCGCGGGCAGATGTACAGCAGGTGGCGTAACTGGGAATTGGACCAATCGAGCGCGTCTGGAGCACGAAGGTATTTCTCAGGGATCGCCGCCACTCTGACGCCTCGCTGAGATCTGCCAGCTTGTCCGCCCGCCTAAGCCGCCGGTTCAGCGTCTCCGTCCACCACCTCCCGCTGACAAGTGCGTCGAGGGTGAGCTATCTCTCGGGCCATCGTCGAGGGTGAGCTATCTCTCGGGCCATCGTCGAGGGTGAGCTATCTCTCGGGCCATCTCGTCACCGGGCGAAGCAGCCGGCCCGCTCTGAGGCCGCGTCGGGGCGGGCGGCGCTGGTCGTCGACCCTCCCCAAGCCGACCCAAACTGGCAGAACGGGTGGTCGGAGACGCGTCAGACTCGGCGGACCCCGGCCCACGTCTGCGCGGTCAGCGCGCCGCGGCGGCCTCCGCACCGCCACCGTATCCCGCAGGCGCGCGGAGGCACGGGCGGCAAGACTCAGCACCGATAAGCTCAGCCGCAGTCACGAGTGTGGTGACGAAACTTCATTTGCTGCCGGCCGCTGAATGTGCGCCGTAGGAACTGGTCGCAGGTCACATCAACGCAACACGGTGGGTGGCAGAACTGCTGGGAGTAAGGCACCAGATAACTGCTGCTATCGTAACACAATTAGGAAACACACTGAGCCTCATAGTAGCCTAATCCTGCCCACAATTGACGAAAACTCACATTCACGTTCTTTCCACGTTCAATCACGGTTACGATTGAACGTGGAAAGAAACCAATATTAGATCCTACGCCTCCTCAGTGCCGAAGAACTTCCGGGATCATGCCATGCAGCTGTGGCAGACAGAAGCCCAGTGTCGACAGCTCAGATTCGAGAGCTCAGTAGAAAAATGCTACAGCGTGCATTGTATGAAGGCGTAAGCGCAATGCAAACACAACACACGCTCTGACAAGTGAGACAAAATGATCCCCACCCAGCATCTGCTTCAAAATCATGCAATTATAGTACTCCTAATGCAAATGTTAATTAACCCACAGCACACTTCATCCAGACTTTCCGCCCCCACCGACCAACGTTGAACGCCACGTTTCCTTCCACACGTGACGCTCAGAAACAATACGCCGAGATCAATTTAGATCAATAACCAACCACAGGAACAGCCAACGTGCGAGCCACACCCACGGGTCAACCCACAGCTATCCATGGCAAGAGGCATGGGACCAACATGTCAGGAGACCGGGCTCAGTTCGGTCTCAGTTTCGGCGCGATGCCGGCCTACCTGTGACGTGGGTGCACTGACCTGCGCTCCGCCGCGCCGACGCAACACGCAGCACGGCGCAACCGCCGGGCCGGCCCACAGTCGAGCTGACACCTAGCGGCCGACTGGCAAACCAGCGGCCGTCCCGTGCCGACGCGATAACGGGATCGGCAGCGGCCGGGCGGCGGAAAGTCGCCCCCGAGGGGGATGGGGAACGGGATGTGGTGGATTCTGGAGCTTGAATCATTGGCCCCACCGGGTATTCCGATTAGGGTTGGAGCGAAGACATGATAAGACGGTGCGGTGTTGCCTGTGGTTGTAATTCCTGATCGTGCGTTTGTCGAAGGTGCTCGGAAATACCGCACAAGAAACCAACCAGGGACGTAACCAAGGAAAGGGCCTAGGGGTCAGTGCTCCCAGCAGGAGTCAAGAGATCTACGATATACAATGGACAGTTTACCAGGAATTTGATACAGGTTCGCAGTATTCAAGAACAAATTTGACACTAAACCCCCCCCCCCTGGAAATTTGGCAACATGCTAACATCCGACCAAAGGCGGGCGCATAGGCACCGCACAGCTTATCATCGTTCAAGCAACCAGCATACGTGTTCATATTACCATAACCCCAGCTTATCTGCCCTGTGCACATTTCCAAACTTCACACACCAAACAGCGGGCAACCAAAGGGGGTGAGGAAAGTAGCCGCCCCCTTAGGCCCGCATTTTCTCCGTTTATCAACCTCGATGTTTTCCGACAGAAAGCCAACAATCGCGTGCAGAAAACTCACCGAACTCCAACTCCTCGTTCCCTAAACAACCATGTCTGCGCCTTTGACAACAAACGTCGAACCAATATATGCAATGTTTATTCTGATTTCTGACAGTTTTGACGCCATTCAAAGGTACAAATCCACGAAATTGTGTGATATGAGCATAGTACGGTTTCCAGCCATCGGCAACGACGGCAAAATGGTTGAAATAATGCCCATCGTGCAAAACCCGTGAACTGGCAGGCGAATTCACATTACAATGTTCGGTTACTACGCGCAAACCGGAGATCATCAGCGAGAGGAGGCCAGCTGTCACCGTGATATGATGCGAGACATCACCATAGCAATAGATAACTGTTAACACCGTTGCCACGATGACTCCCAACGCACGCACACAGGCACTGGCAGTGAAGCAGGTACGGTATGCACACGGCGCTACATAATGGGCGATTACATTTCTTCAAAACACACTTTGGCCAGCCGTGAGGTACCCTTCGTCCATCGCTGCGGACTTATGCGATGGTGGACCACGTTAAATGGAGGATAACACGTACATCTAGTGTCACGCTCAGGTTACGGAAGTGAACACTGGCCCGGTAAATACTGGTAAATACTGGTAAATACTAGTCATTTAAGCGCAAGCTTGAAAGACGTCACCACTTCACAAGCTTCCGTACGTCACACGCTCTTGAAAAACGCCTTGGAAATGCGATTCACTCAATTAAAAACACACCACTGGATGCGCTGCGGCTGCAAATCATCGCTCGTAAGTAGAGCACAATACAACTGGCAAGTCTCAGTGCCGTCCCAGCATCCGCGCCCCAGCGGGACTGAACACATGTACAAGGTGTGCAGCGAACACCCGCCTGAGCCCGCATACATTAAAAACGCACAGCGCTCGCTCCCGACGTCACAAATCCAGAGACCGACCGCAGCGGCGCCGGCTTTGGCTGCCCGCGTCACCGCGAAGCCACTGCCAGACACGACCAGCGCCAACACGAGACCTACAGTTACGAGCCCGGCACCGGCTGCGCGGCGGGTGCCTCCGACGCGCACGAGCTGCGACTGTTCCCACCCGCACCGCCTACCACCGGCGCGCGCTGAAAGACACGCGGCGTAGCTCCCGGGTCCGGGGCGGCAGTGGCAGCTTCTGAACGGCTGCGAGGATGCATGCCGCCTCGGAGCGCCCGCCATATGACGATATAGACACCATCTCTACACATACAGGTCATAAGGAATGTTCAACCGCGTCCGCTTGTCACCGCCCACACCACTGACCTAGACCTCTGCCCAGACAGAGCTTCCTCCACGCCATCCAGACTGCGGTACAGCAACTGCGTCCAGCGGTCCTTCCCAGAAGCGGCGAGCAAGCGATGACATCCCGCACATGGCTCGCAATGACCCAGCGACCACATACGATGGCGACATTGGCCACGAGTCTCCAGCACCATCCCCGCAAGATAAGCGCTTTCCATTCCTTTCCACGGCACGAACGCTTCCGATCGCCCACCACGCGCTTAAAGCAACGTCTGTCTGTTCCCCGGGACAGGCAAGTCACCTTCGTCTAAGCTCCTGCGGTCGACGCACGCGTACTACGCGGCGCCGCGGCCCACCCGGCGGCACCGCGTCCTCATCCGACTCATCCGACTCATCCAACCCATCCGACTCCTCCGGCTCCTCCAGCGCCGCCGCCGCCGCATCCGCGCCGCCCGGTCCCTGCGGCGCCAGGCGGCGGCGCGCCAGCCAACCCAGCACGCCGTAGAAGAGCGTGGCGACGAAGCAGGCGGCGACGGCTGGCGCCAGCGGCCGCCAGCGGGCGCGCTCGGTCAGCTCGGCCGGCACGCGGCAGCCGCGGCACCGCCACATGCGGCTGCTCACGTTGGCCATGTCCTCAACGTCCTTGCACGAGCTGACGACCGGGTGCAGCGGCTGTTCGGCCACCACCTCCAGCTGGTTCGACTGGCGCACGAGATGCTCCGAGCAGAGCGTACACACCTCTGGCGTGCCGTCGGCGCCCGGCGCCGTGCGGTGGTCGTTCGCACGCAGACACGCGCGGAACTCGTCGTGCTTGAGCTTGTAGTCCAGCACCTCGTCATGCACGCGGTAGCCACCATACGGCTGCCGCAGCATGCAGCGGTCGCAGCGGTTTAGGTCCATGATGCGGTGGTAGTAGCGCATGTTGAACGCCACCACCTGCACGTCGTCCTGGTTCATCAGCTCGTAATGGCAGTCCTCGTCAGCGGGGCTTGTGCCGTGCAAGATGTTGCCGTAGGCCTTCTCGATGGCGTAGCGCGTGTCGATGCACTTGAGGCAGACGCGCAGCGGGCGCGAGCTCTTCATGCTGCACGACATGAAGTCGGCGAAGGCGTCGGCGAAGCTGGTGAGCAGCACGCGGCAGGGCGGCGACAGCGCGCCGCGCCGCTTGGCCGCCAGCGACTTGGCGGTCCATTCGCGCCGGCTTATCGGGCGACGGCCGTCCGGCCGCGGCCGCTGCGGCGTCGGCCACGCCAGAATCACCAGCACGAACACGATGATGCCCGCGTACACCACGTACGTCACCACTGTCATGACGCGCTGGTAGATGTCGAACCACGTGATAGCGGGAGCCGGCTCCGGTACGGGCTCCGGGGCCGACTCCGGGGCTGACTCTGGTCCAAATTCCCGAGCGGTAGCTGCCGCAAAAGCTGGCTCCATCGCTCCTGCCGGCAGCAGAGATCATGAAGAAGATAGGCGGCGCGTTGTGCCATTAAATGCGGCGGCACAAGCAAACTTCATCATCAGACAATAGTTGAGTGGTGGAATGGTGGCTCCGAGAGGCACGGCCCTAGACGGGAGATGGGCCGGCTCAGAATCATGACTGAGATCACACCACAGTCAACTGATATAACACACCAAATATTGGAATTATCAAAAATAAAGTTCCATACCACACAAGCAAATTGCAAAAGCGGTAAAGGTGCAATTAGATCACTGCTTCGTTAACACGCGATCGGGTGGGGTCAATTTGACCCCTCCTAAGGTTTTTCCAAAGCAGTTTCCGAAAAACGCGGCGTAGCGGAGTCAAATTTAACATAGCTGTTGACAGTTAAGTAGCAGATCGTCTGGTATCAATAATCTTTATGTACGTTGAAAGGTCACTGGCCTACGGCAGGTCAGTCAGGTCATGGATTCAGCGAACACAATTTCTAGGAAACCGTTCAATCCGGTGCAACAACGAAATGTAAGATAACGCCATACATCTCTGAGATAGTTTCTTGGGCAACACAACAAGTGAATGAGCAAACTTCATTGACCTTGGGTCAGGCATGAAGGTCAGATCAAGGTCTAAACTTTTTATTGCTCTACACTAATTGATGCATGGGGTAGTTTCTAGTACTCATTGCGGATTTGTTAATAACAGGAACCGCAATATATATCATCATCTTATATCATCTTCCAGCGACTTCTTAAAGGACAGAAAAGGCCACTGACCTAAATGACCCAGGTCAACACTTTTTCAGAAACATACTTCCTGGCGTAATCTTTGACGAGCATTCAAATGCAACACTCAAAAAGTCGAGTATGATTTTGGTCACCATGACTTGCAAAGGTTGACACGCACCCGGGTGACCGGGCGCACCCGGGTTTACGGGGTGTGTTGACCTGTACGTGAACTCACTTAGCTCAAAGTTTCAGGTTTCTTGGTCATGACCTTTGGATCAAAAAGGTCAAACAAGGTCAAGTTCCAGGTTGGTCTCCAAAACGCCTCCAGAACCTAGATAACCATTTCTAAGCAAAAGGCCATTATCATTCAAGGTCAGTGACCTTGTTTGACCCTTTGAAGGTCAAGGTGACCAAAATCATACAAGATTGCTTTGGTTTTGCATTTGACTAAGCAACAAAGATTACGCTGGACAGTATGTTCCTAAAACAACATGTTGACCTGGGTCACTTTAGGTCAAATGCCTATTCTGATCTCCAAAAAGTCCATGGAAGATGTATAATGCGATTCCTGCTATCAATAAATTGGAAATGAGCACCAGAAACTATCCCCTACAACAAGCCATAGAGTAACAGAACAGGTTGGTTTTGACCTTGGTGTGACCTTCATACCTGATCTTAGTCCATGTAATTTGCTCATTCAACTGTTGTGGTGCCCAAGAAAGCATCTTAAAGATGTATGACTTCGTCTAACACTCTGTTGTTGAATCAGATTGAAGGATTCCCTGGAAATTGCCTTCGCTGAAAACATTGGCCTGAATTTGACCTGCCATAGGTCGGCGACCTTGCAAGATACATCTAAATTTTTGATTCCAACCGATCCGCTATTCAATTGTCTACAACTATGCGAAATTTGGCGCGGCTACGCCGCGCCGTTCGGAAACAATTCTGGAAGAATCTCCTGGGGGCGGGGGGGGGGGCAATCTGACCCCCACCCGAGCGCGTGTTAAGCAAGATCACTGACAATAAATGAGCATCAGCGACCTTTTGCTCAGAACAGGTTTCTAGATTCTGGGGTCACTTTAAACACCAATTTGGAGTTAAATCTTTTTGACCTTATCTGACCCAAAGGCAATGACCTAGGAACCCCCAATTTCGCCAGAAGTGAGTTCCCATACAAGCCAATAGCCCTGTGAATTTGATGTCAAGCTTTCTTAGTTTCCAAGATCCCAGGGGAGGGTCACATAGACCCCGCACCCGAGCGAAAGGTATTTAATCAGCCACCCGGTCGCGTGTTAACACATCAGCGGAAACCAACATACAAACACGTAAAGTGAGCATATGGTACGCACCTGCCAGATAACGCTCTATCAGGCGGCAACTTCGATCTTCGGATTGAATCACAAGGGCGCGCGAGTGATCATCAGGGACGGTGTAAGCCCCGAGAATAACCTGGCTGGTCGGCTGTTCAGCAAGGCAGCCGTCAGCGCTGCCAGCCTACGTCGAGCCCGCAGAACCAAGAACGGGACTGGTATGACGAGCACTAGCGCAGGCTGGGGGCACAGGGGGCTCGCTCCCCCCCCCCCCCCGCCTTAGGTTCCGAGAGGCCCTTCGGGCCCCTCGGAACTTACGATTAAGAGCCCGATCTAATGCCCGAAGGGCCTAAAAAGCCAGCCCTGGGTCTCATTCAGGGGCCCCGGTCCGCAGGGCCGGGCGCTCAAACGCCAGCCAGAGGCCCTGTGCGCTGATCAGGGGCCCACTGAGTCGATAAGTGCGTATATGTCGGTCAGACGCCACCAGTAACGCGCAGTCGGCCCCGTGGCGACATGGACCCACGGCCCATTTCCGAAGCAGGGACAAAGCCAGGGACAAAGCCGGAGCCGCTGATTTACATTGCTCTGGGCCCCACAACGCCTAACAGGGGCTCTGTGCTGTCAAGGGACCCCGAGTCGGCCAGAGGCAGCGTTCGAGCAGGTCCGAATAGCCTAGAGGGCCCACCCGGTCCGTCGAACATGGGCTCGATTGGAGGGTCTTAGGGCATAAAGGACAGGCCGGAGTCTCGTTCAGGGGCCCCGACCTGCGAAGACGGACCCTCAAATAACGGTCAGAGGGCCCTCTGCGCCGATCGGGGACCCCCTGAGTCGACATGGGCCTATATGTTGGTCAGGTACCACCGTACCACATGGTCGGCCCCGTGTCGGCATGGGCCTGAGGACCCACTGCTCAATCAGCTATAAAGCCGGGGCCAGCGATTTACACTGGTCGGGGGTCATGCATCTCTTAGGGACCCACAGCGCCCAACAGAGGGCACTGCGCTCGTAAGGGCCCCGAGCCGGCCAAGGGAAGTGTTTGATGAGGCCCAAAGAGGGGCCCGAGCGGCCCACCGGAACCGACGATCAAAGGCCCGATTGGAGGGCATAAGGGCCCGAAGGACTGACTGTGGATTACACAAAGAATCGCGACCCGTAGGGCCGTGACCTGAAATATCAGTCAAAGGTACGTAGAACATCGTTTTAGGAACACCCGAGACAATGCGGGCGCCTACGTCGGTCAGAGACTAAGAATACCGAACAGTCGGCTCCATGTCCTTCTGAGCCCTTGAGACCCATTTCCCAAACAGAAAAGAGGCCGGGATCCGCGATTTGCAATGTTCTGGCCCCCAACACGATGAGGGTCTCATAAGTTGGTTAAAGGCCATAGTGCTGAACAGGAGTTGTTCGGTATCGTTCGATCGTTCGGCAACACGCATCCGTCGGCTGATGCTATATTTTGAGGTTTGAATATCGGGCCAGGAAGAGGACATACGCGTCCTCTCCTTGGCGGCGCTCGCGAGACAACTGCCCAGTTACCGGGCGGCGCGGCCCCGCGCAGAACACGACACATGTGGCGCAGTTTCCGGGCTGACCGTAGGGCCGGGGTCGCAGGGACGGTAAACTAAACAAAACATAAATCTAAAGGGAAACTCGACAGGGGACCAAGAAATGGAGATAAAACAGAAGCTCAGAGACGGGACAGCAAAGCCAACATTTCACAAAACAAGGAAACCGTGTAAAGGCAGATTTGTACGGAACACAGCCGCACCATAATTCATCCACGGTTCTTGGATCACTTCTGTGCTAACACAGACAGATCGGACAAATCATGCCGCAGCTACAAGATGCATCGCCACTCATCCGACTTCGGCAGCACAATTCTCTCGGTCGACCGCATCGAAAACGCGTCCGATGTACACTTGTGACATTTCTTTTTCCCGCTCGAGTTTTCTCTCCGTGTGCCTGAGACGTATCAGAGCGGCGCGGCGGCTGTCTAGCGGCCTGCCGTTCGGACGCTTCCACATGAGCCTTGTTTCATACTGACCATCAGTCAGTTTCATACTGTCATCCGGCACTTCCAGGGCTCGTTCGTCGTCACGTGACCTTCTTGGCGGCTCGTCATACTTCGTTCCAAACAACTCAGTTGTCCAGAAGTTTTGAATTTGCCGATGCATGTCGTCTTCATCTACTATGTGAGTGAAGTTCACATGCAGAACCCTTTCGCCGTGCTTGCATCTGCCGGGAAGCCGGTTGGAAGCCACCCAACCGAGCCGGGTTCGAACTGCGGCCGGACTGCCCGGTGGACCCTCCCGGACTTCTCTGGGTACGATCAAACTGAACGCATCGATGCCCAACAGCACCTCGATCTCATCAGATGCCGTTCGCTGCAGGTTCAGATCTTTAAGATGTGGCCACCTCAACTTTTCGTTCGGCCAGTCGATTGCGTGACCTGGTACGTTCAACAGCGGGGTTGTTTGTGCAGCCGTCACTCGGAATCGATCTTCAGATGACAGTGACTAAATTTCCAAGTCCACCTGGCGTGAGGGTCTCGTCTGGCTATTGTCGATGGTGCTGATGCTCAGCGGCTGGACAGGTCCGTCAAGTCCCAGGTGCGATGCGGTGTCCTCCTTGAGAGACATCTGACTCCCCATATCCAGCAGCGCGTTCACCTTCTTTGTCCCGCGTGGTCCGTGCACACAAACGGGCACGATCTGCAGCAGCATCTGGTCCTTTCGTCCCACTGAAGCAACGCCGACCAGTTGAGATTCTTCTTTTGGTGGCCAGTTGTCCTCTTGTCTCGCGTAGTGTTGAATTCCTGCATACCGTGAAACAGTCGATGATGTCTCCGGCTGTCACAGCCGTTTACGGAGCATTTCTGGGCAGAGACGCATTTCCGGACACGATGATTGAGATCGAGACAGCGGGAGCACATGCCCTGCTTCATCGCGGCCATCGCACGTT